GGGGGGGGGGTCATTCAGGAGTAGGCAAAATGTGGCAGCACCACCTGTAACAGCAGCGCACACAGGTGAAAGCCTGTCACATGACACAGAGCTCATAACTTTGGGGGTATTCATACACCAGCTTATTTGCATCCCTCTAGGCCAGAAGTGGGTAGTCCGGGTCGAGAGAATAAAAGTCCAGACCAAGATTTTGTTTCAATGAACCAGTGAGAACTCTGAGTATTATGACTTTTTATACTCAAATGGTTGGTTGAAGCAAAATATTTGTCAGGATTTTTACTTTCTCGACCTGAATTACTCATCTCTGCTCTGGGCAGTGGTGGGACATGTAAATTATACCTGTTGTAACTAAACGGAGAACTCAGCGTGCGGAACTGGAAGACAGCAGGTTTGGGGACGCAGTGATTTCTCAATCGGCAAACCGCAAGCCCGCTGCAGTGCGTGTGGAGTGTACGCTGCAGGACGGATTCTGCCTGAAGACCGCCCATCGCAAGAGGCAGATGAAAATAACAGTCTATACTTAAGGCCTACATGCTTTGAGAAGAGTATAAGCAGTACCACTGGGGTATATTAATTGGGGGGCATTAATAGGATTCTCCTTTCATTATATCATAGTTTTTATCGACATGAGTTCCATGTTATTCTTTGCTCCTGGTATCTGTTCAGGGAGGCGATTAGGATCCCAGATTGATTGTCCTGTTGGGTGATTTGGATTCATTCTGACTTTTTTCTCCCACATGCCATGTCTCTCACATTCTGGCATCCAGGTGACTGTCTACAGATGGCGACCCGTAGCTGAGTTTTGTCCGGTGAGAGTTTGTGTCAGCATTGTTCCGGCACATTGGCACACCATAAACAGCCGTTGTTTTTCTCTACCGATAAATAAGGCTTTTGGTGAATGACTGATACATGCAGAACGCAACAAATCACGCAGAGACTTTTGACCACCCCCATTGTCAAAGTCAACTCTCAGAGCTCTCTCCTCTCGGCTGATAGGCCACACCCCCTCGACCACACCCATCGGATACAACAGAAATTACATATGAACATGACATTTGCAGTTTCATAATTAAATATGTTCTCAACCCAAGCAAAACATTGCAATCAGCAATAGGTCAAATTCAATTAAATAAAAACAGCAGCATCTCCCGACCCAGTCCTCGATGACCCCCTGGATTGGCTACGTTTTTGTTCCCTCCCATTTCCCAGCCAATCAAAAACACTGAATACCTGGTACAGGTGCATTGAGAGCTGGGCGGGAGCGAAAATGTGGACTGTCTGGGGCTCCTCTAGGACTGGGTTGAGAATCACTGTCGTACAGAATATGTACGTAATGGAGAGGAATTCCTCTCAGCTTCACTGAAAGGAGAGAGGTGTGAAGCAGTGATACTTTGGCTTTTTGTGTCCTACCTTGAGATGAGGACTTGGACTGGCTGGCAGCAACTGTACTCATTTCAGTAGGCAGCCCAACATAAACTCCACCATAGTTCCTGCGGAAGAGGAAGTAAAATTATCATGGGATTGTGGGAGAGGAAGCGAAATAATCAGGGGAATCGGCTGGGAGACTCAGCATTTGTCAGTCAAATCATAAACTCACCACCGCATCACACAGAACAGCATTGCAGAGGGCCTGTTTCCTCAAGGCGTCAAAGACAAAATAAGGGCCTCAGACAATGCAGATGATAATCATTTTTGGCAGCCATGTTAACACATACAGTGACTCTCATGTTTCAAACTAAAGAGCTCGACTGACACTGTTTTCACATCTATTGCACGAGGACTCACACCTGCCCTTCTGGAAACAACACAGACGTGCAAAGCTACATAATATGAAACCACAGCAGGAAATCACAACGATTTGTCCGTTTTCAATATCCAATCCTCTCATTCTATTCCAAGACATATTGGCCATAGACGAGAAAACCACAGTACCCAAAGACAAGTAACTACGCCAAAAGCCTGTTCATATTTCTCCGCATGTTTACCTGCCGGCAAGTCTGAGCTGACTTTTATGACACGACTGAAATAAACACAGTTCTGTGAAGTCGAACACTTGCAGCATCAAGATTTTTGGTGAATCTCAATATGCACACTTGACCACACTTGTGTTCTCCTGTACCTGTTTTATGTCATCTTCCTTTGCTGAAGACCAATTCCAACACTCAGGAACAGAAGTACAGAGGACGGCAAAATCCCGGGATCATTTTTGCTCTGCCCCAAATATGAAGGAGGCATCAGTTGCATCCTCGCTAAACAAGACCAATCCCGTGATTCATTGCACCCCAAGTTCGTTCTTGGGCAGCCAGTTAGCAAGACCAGTCTTGCCAAGACCACAAGTACTATCTTTGTGTTCTTGGTATTGAGAAACACCCCTTGTGTCCTTGCAGCCACCGACCGCACTGGTCCTCACACACTACGCGTGTCTTCATTTTGGAATATTGTCCTTCCCTCCTCCCATGTGCGAACTGTGTGGGCTTGGCCGCAGGCAAACGAGCAGCTCCGCGTCCAGTTTGTGCGGAGATCTATGTCAAGGGCGTAACTCCCCCCTACACCACAGGCAAGTTAGTTATTACTTCATTATTATTTGTTATTTACGTTCATTTGAACTTCACTCACCGTCTTTTTTCATCTTCTTGGGAGGATTCTTCTGTCCTTTATGGGAAAAAGAGGATCAAGCCATTAAGATCTTCTGGACTCGTAATAGAAATTCAGAGAGTGGCTGAAACAGCGGGATGCTGTTAATCAGGAATTAACACTCAAATTTGAATTGGTAAAATTAGTTTGGTAGGGGATGAAGGAGTTTGACTTTGCCTGTGCGGTTTAGTGCTGAGGTGATCAGCACACAAAGTACAGCATGACCTGAAACAGGGTGCATGTTTTCATCCGCCGGATCTGATGACTTGCGGGTTGTTTTTGGGCATAACTATGGCGATTACCATTTTTCGCCATTATTAGGAGTGGCATGGAAAACAGTAGCTGCACATCAGCTAATAACAGGGGAAGTGACGGAAAAATCAGAGAGCGACAAAAGAACGGAGTGTTTGCTCGCGCGACATAATTCCTCACTGAGGAGAGGAGATGTCTGCGAGTTGGTCCTTGTGTCACATGTTTGTAAAATACTAACTAGCCAGACTCGGTGCCCCCTGGCTGTGGGAGGGACCCCCACCTGCAGCCATGCTGATGAACACAGAGGAGTTTAATTATCCCTGATTAGCTGATGAGTGGCCCTCGTTAGGGGCCTTTCGGGGGCTTTCAGGCTGCCGCAGTGTTTATTCATGGAAATGAGCTACGGCTAGCTCACCAATTCCAGGAACTGTTTTGGAAGGATCCGACCCTCCATTCCACACAAAGGCAGCATGGCGTGTTGATTGATCACGCAGCCAGTTCATTTTAGGACACATATCCAGCTGCGGTTCGTTTTCCAGCTCCATTATTTAAACCTCGTAATACCCAGATTTTTTTTTCCCTCAAATAGAAAACGTTGCCATAGTGACAGTGACTCCTGCTTCTAAGAGGTGCACATGTGGATGTCGTTGATTAACTAACAATGGTTTTGCTTGTGCTGTATCTCTTGAAATTTATACTGTTGATTTTCTAGTAATTTTACAGTGCAATGCAGCGTGAAATGCAGTTGAGCTGGTCAGGATCCACAGACCCAAAAAAACCAGTACCCCACATCATTCGAACCACCCAAAAAGGAGAGAGGAGAGGAAATATTGGAAGTAAGAAAATATGTTTGGTAGAAGGTTAGTTGAATGAGTTTTTGGGGCTTTCTGTGTCAGACGTGGGACAGAACAGGAGTTATTGAGCTACACTGGCAAGGTAGGTAGCTAGTGGGGGGGTGGCCTCCTTTCCAGTAGGGCTGGCGAGGTTTGCCCAGCACCCTTCAGATGATTACAACACTTACATGTCTTTGGAAGCTTCGGCGGGACCTGTGGAGAGAGACACCATGAGACGGCATTTTATTCTTAGTGTAACACAGCAGAAGGCATATGTTCATATGTTCTCATACAGCATAGAGCAGTGTTTCCCAACCCAGTCCTCGGGGAACCCTGGACAGTCCTCTCAGGGAGCAAAAACTTGGACTGACTGGGGTTCCCTGAGGACTGGGTTGGGAAACACCGGCATAGAGCATGTTTATCCAGATCAGGTGTTTCTCAGCTATTGGGCTGAGACTTAACAGTAAGTCGTGGGAATATTTTGTCGACAATTTTTATCACTAGTACCCCCCCCCCAAAAAAAAAAATATAAATAAAAAATTGGGTCATGCCTTAATGACCAAGGAAAAATGTGAGTCCTAAGGCTAATCCGCTGTTCTAGATACACCAAATAAAGGACACAAACGTATTAATCAGAGGCCGCAAGAAATAAGGAGAGCAGGAAGGTGTTGGGTGATTGATCTCCTCCACGCTGGTGCCTTTGGCCCAGGTTTATTTCGCTTGGGTCATATGCTGTTTGTTCTATGCTCTGTAAGTACAGATTTTCACAAGCGGCTATGAGGCTGATTGAAGGTCTTGAGAATAAGCACATATTCCGGTGGCTTCTGTCCGTCTGCATCCCTTTACCCTCTACTACAGCTCTCCGTGTTTACTGTGCCAACCTGGCCGTGACTAATCGTGATAGACGGCCCCCTATCTGTCTGTGTCTCCACGTGTGAGTGCGGCCGCCTTTTATGTCTCTGTGAAAGCACTCTACTTATGGGAGACCGTGTTCGTCTTTCACGGGGCACGGGGAGGCAAAACTCATGCTCCACACCCGTCCTTCATCTGGGCTCCCGTAGCCTGGATAACTTTGGAGATGTCGGTGCGATTGAGTATGGGCATTTTTGGGCAGAATCCTAATATTCTGGTGCATGTTCCATCCAGGATGGCCTGTCACTGCAAGACGAACAGCAATTGGTCAGAAACGTGAGCACAGGCTAGCATCACGCCTGGGTGGGCTTTGCAAATGGCAGCTGGGTCACCTTCACCCTAGGCCCCGTCCTGAAGCAGGCAGAAGGTGCAACCGTCCGTGGCTGTCACCAGTGTGTAAACAACACCTGGCCACGCGTGAGGGAATAGTGCCGGTGTCTAAGGAGCAACGTTAATTGGCAACAACTCCCACAGGATCCCCCCCCACGGGGTGCCAGGCAGTGCCTTATGTGAGCCCCCTGAGTAAGCAGCAGGGCCCCCAGGCTGCCTGTTCTGTAGGGTGGGGCGCCACTTGGTTAAGAACACGGCCAACAGCGTCCTCCATACTGTCAGAGCGGACACTTGGTCATCCGATGTAACAAACTCTAAACATCGTACAGCGCGAATGGCCACACACACCACGATAGCACCAAGCCCAGAATCACCATAAGAGCCTTGGTTTAAAATGAGAGGGAGGTCCCGGTTTAGCCATCCAAGCTAATGGCCGATGATGAACTCCATGGAGACAGAGAGAATACCATGTAGTACTGGCAGTACATATTAATGCATCTACACAGCAAGTTAATAACATCGAAAATAGTTTTATCCTGACCAGGGTCAGTGGGTAGAAGATAGATGGATGGATGGATGGACTGACTGATGGATAGAAGTATGGTTGGATGGATGGATAGATTAATAGATGGATGAATGGTTGGATTAATAACAGACAGAAGACTGGTTGGATGGATGATGGACAGAATGATGGATGGATGGATGGATGGATTAATTGACTGATAGAAGGATGGCTGGGTGGATGATGGTTGGATGGCCTAATAATAATATCTTTAATAGCTCAGAGCTCTGCTGTGTTACTTTGTATCACTTCATTAGTGGGTCACCCTTATAAAACAGCAGTAATGTTCTGATCACCTCTGCGGTTTAATCACCTTGTTTTTCGCTGATTCTGAACAAGACCCCAGGGTCTGAGTGGAGACGTTCAAGGCACTTTTCACACCAAGGCCACGTCTGATCTTTACTGATCGGCATTCGCTGTTGTTTTCGCCCACGCGGAGACGAGCTTCCTTAAAGAACTCTCTTTGATGACCTTAAATAATAGGCCTGCGTCCTTCAGACAACGTGCAATGAGGGTCGTCACAGCAGCCTCCACCCTCCTTCTCCTGCCCGCCATCGCCTAACCTGCGCAGCTGTACAGTAAAGGTGAGCTCTGACCTTCTCCAGTCTTTCAGAGTTATGTAAACAGGAAGCTAAAAATACATCCAGCTGTGCAGGGTGAGCACCTTCCCAGGAAGGCATCACATCCAGCTGCAGGATGGTGCTACAATGTTCAGCTAAACATCCACCACAAAAACCCTAAAATAACACCAGGCCAGAATGAAACAGGACAGAGACGACAGCCTGTTACCAGAGGCCTACCTTGTTCTGCTTCATTCTGATGGACCTTGGTGCTCAACATGCGGCACTGAGAGGAGATTTCAGATATATCCCCAGCCTACCCAGGTTAATAAGAAATGTCTCCGTGACAGAGCAGAAGCTAAATGAATACTTCCACTAGCTGAGACATGACCACATTCTTCCGCTCCCTGGTCCACCCCGCACCCCCAGGTTCCCCCCCGCAGCCACAGTGAAAGGTCAGGGCCACTGATCAGCCAATCGAGAGCGAGCGCCCCCAAAGTTCCACACAGGTGAGGTCTCTGTAGGTCACGCAACACACACGCGTGCATGCGGTCACTGACACGAGTGCAGAGATCACACGTTAGTGGTGGACGCGGAAGCGGAGAGAAGGACTCACCCCCTCCGGAGGTGCCGGTGGCCGAGGAATTCCCACAGCCCATCTCACATCGATGCCACGCTCAGGAGCAAGAGAGAGAGAGGGAAAGAGAGAGAGAGAGGCAGAGAGAGAGAGAGTTAAAGAAAGAGAGAGAGAGGAGGAGAAGGAGGAAGGGTATGAGAGGGAAAAGATGGACAGAAATGTTGGAATGAGGGAGGGATGATGACACCAGATATTTCCGTTTGGCTGGTCTTCCAGCTGCTGGCGTCCCTGGCTCACCTGTGTTCTGACTGGTGAAATGTTTTAAGGGAAAGGATGGAGCTTAGCACTTATAGAGAGGGGAAGAGAAGGGAGGATGAACGAGAGAGCAAGAGCAAGAGAGAGAGAGAGAGAGCGATAGAGCGAGAGAGCGCGCGCGAGAGAGAGAGAGACATGGAGAGATGCTCTGCCCTCTCATACGTAATCTTTTCCTCCCTCCTGACAGTTTCCCTGGCAACGGGGGAATGAGTAGGGGCGGGGTGATACGCGGCCAATGGCTGGCAGGGAGTTTTATAAGGAAGATGAGGTGCATTTACAGGGCACCTCTGTACCAGTCCACACATCTCTCACTTAAGGGGTCATCTCCTTTTAGCCATTTCGGATTCGGCAGCACTGGATTCATAACAGATCTGCTAATTAGATTTCTGATGTCCTTCTGTTAAGGGTCACAGAAACACAGCATAGATGAAGTGAAAGAGGGAACTGTCCCCCAGCGATGTCATTTGGCCAAACCACAGGCAGTATAAATATGCTTGTGACAGAGTTTGCCCCCACCACCCCACCCCCACCCACAGTTATGCTGAAAATGTAGCTGCATCACCATGGAGCCCTGAGAGAGGAGACTAGCAGGGAACTCACTGAGTAAATTAGAGTGCCGTCTGGAGTGGAACAGTACTCAGCTTCCCCCAACGGCGTAGGTTTGGTCTCAACATCAGTAGGGGTCAAATTAGCCCCAAATCAAATCAGCCATGGTTCTCCTACAAATACTGCTAGGGACATGTGCCTATCATCCATAGCCAAATCTACACCCTTGGCCAGTCCCCAGATCTCAAATTTGCCTCCACACATCTGTCATGTGATTAGCTAAACCCCAACTAAAAAACTCCCCAACCCAACACACCTGTCTGCTCTAAGAACAACCAGTTCTCTGTCCTTTTCAAAAATCTTCCTCAAAAAGGGATCGTTCTCAACACTTCTATAGCGGTCATCGGGGGTAATCATAATTATGTTCGGGTGCGATTCACCATCTTGTGTCTCCACACCCCTAAGTACACTGAGCTTGGAGGACATTAACTCAACTGTATTGGATTTGCTACTGTACTGTATCTGTCCACTTGTGGCAAATTATAAACCTTTCATGTTTTCAAAGAATGCTTTTAAAATCTCGTTTGTACCAGGTGCCTTGTTGTAAACGTGAGTGTTGTGTTTTGTAAATGCTCAGATGTGTGAGCAAGATATGCAGAAATGTGTGCTACAACAACAACAGTCAACACAGCCTTCTTATTTTATTAATCTGCCTTATTGAGTTTTTACTTCTGGAGCAGAGGAACTTTAATCTGTCTCAGAGATATTTCAAATGACTAAAACATTGAATTATGCTGACATACTGTTAAAATCTACGCGTTTAAAACTGTAATACATTGTAATTTAAATTATTTGAAACCTTCGATTCAATTTATTGACTGGGCATCATTAATGGACGTTTAAAGCGTGCTACGTGTCGTGTAGAGATTACAAATGAATAATCTTCAATTTACACACTAGGGGGCGAAATTGCTGCACAAGCTGGAATAATCGAAAAGCATAATCGCCCAAGTCTCAAAGCAGACAAGATACGTTTGGCGAGGGAAATATGAACCATGTGTACAGTATTTAACTTTCTGTGTAAGTGATTCATTTTTACTGGCTGTAGTTATATGTTGTGTCAAATATTTAAAGACAGCACACGTGCGAGTTCTTTGGAGGTCTCTTGGCTTGAAATTGTTTATTAGGTAATAAACATACTCAACGCCATGTTTTTATTAAATCCATTGCAACTTCAGGAAACTTACGCAATGCCGAGAGACTGGGAGAGATAGCCCATCCATGCAAAATCCCTTATGTGGAAAAGGTGAATTGCATTTGTATTCTGGGCTGGAGGATTCCTTTCGAGGTCTGCTTTCCGTGCAGTTGCAATGATAGTCTGCTAACGCTACGTGTCACCCATTGCAACACACGGCTTCATGGGAAACATAGTCCATATCCTGAATAATTCAACATTGTTCCCTGCCCCGTGAACAAGATGCCGGCCGTCCACAAATTGCTTCTGGAGGAGGCTCTGCAGGACAGTCCGCAGGTAACCTTTTCAAGTTTATTTCTAATAAATTTATAAATCTGCCTGCGGCAAAATGGCCTGAGTGTAAACTTTTATATCCTAATGGAATCACCATGGCCAGCACCCAGTCCTGACGCTGATCTCTGCCCAGCGTCCATAAAGGTATTTTAGCAGCTCTAAGTTATACGAAATAACTAAATAACGCCGGCGTTATGTAGCATTGCAAGAAATGCAGCCCCGGTTTTATCCAATTAATGACGCGTTTCCCCGTTGAAATAAATAAATCCCCGTGGCAGAGTAAAAAAAAAAAAAAAAACGATTACAAGGAATAGATCGAAAATATTGCATTATGTCATCCTATGTCTGATGTATAAAATTAATAGCAAAGCCACCGCTGAAACCTGGATTCTGGAGTCGGAAAGCGGCAGCTTCCTATCGTGTGCATTTGCACGGTAGAACCAGCCTCATCGGGCCCGCGGTGGGAAACGGCTCCGATGTGCAGGAATCCGTAAAAATGAGCAATCTTAAGATCGCCATGACACATCTTCTGCTTGAAGACCACCACAGCCTTTCAGAAGGATGCTTAATTCCCTCTACACTTTAAGTTTTGATCTGTCGGACTGCGCTGTTTCTAGGGCTGATCGTGGTATTTGCATTCCCACTCCTTTACCCCATACTCTGCCCATCTCCATGTATAAATTAAAACAATGACAATAAATCACAAGCTGGTCGCGACCATAAACACCATCCTTCAAAAAACAGCCTTTGGCTTTTACTTTCTTATGCTTTTCGTGATATGCACGTTAATGTAACACCGTGAATTTTGTCACCGCCTAAGTTTAATTGTATGCCACAGCTACTGGTTAATGCAAATAATCGGGGTTGAAGGTTTCGGGAAGTGTTTTTAATACGGAACTTTCCCCCCATCTAAAGTACGAGCGGAGGCAGTTCGATCCCGCTCACACTTTGTTCTTTCTGTGGAAATCAGATCTATTACCGTTGTTCATGGTCAGTAATTGTACAGATATATATTTATCTACATTCCTTAAAATTAATTGATTTTATTCAGATTGTCGTAGAGATTATCTGAACGTGCAGTTGGTTTCTATATATTTCCAATAGATGCGTATGTTTATCCAAAAACACATGGATGATGCAGTATGTGTGCGTGAATTGGCATTTCTATGCCCTGTGATAGACTGGCACCGGGTCCTGGGTGCCTTGTGCCCTGTGATACCTCCGGTAGGCTCCAGCCCCCCCTCCATCTCTGCCCCCGTGATGAGTAGGTGGAAGATGATTGGATATCTTTGGATGCAAAAACTGGGTCATTGGTTTGAATACAACCCAGGCTCCTTCTGTGGCAATTCTTCATTTACTCCAGTTTCCTCCCACACTGTTCAGGCAAACAGGTGATTCACAGTCATCCTGAGTGTGTAATTGTATAAGAAGACATTCTGTCAGCATGATTATGAGGGAACCAGACTGTGACTGCTTCTGTGTTACAGTGACCCTCATTGGGTAAACATCTGTTGAGAAAGCATGAATATTATTGGATGGGGATGTGAAGGTGCTGAGCAGGCATGTACATCTTAAGCTTTTGTACGGCATGCCATTTCTAAAAAAGTAAAATAATAAACATCGTAATCCCAGGTTGAATTTAGAGGATTTGAAATCTGTAGTTTGCTGGAAAGTCGTCTGCTGTTTACACGTGCTTTTTGAAAATATGGGCAAATGTGAACCTCCCACATTGCAGGGGAGGGTGCCGTATATACGGCAGGAATGTTGACGCATGCTGGGAGGGGTGTCACATGACTTCCTCTGGCCAGTGCCGACGAAGCAGTGACCTGAGACTCATGACCGTGTTTTGCTCTTTATGTAAATAGTAGTTAAGCTTCTGTCACAGACGAAAGAAGAGCAGAGTGTTGGACTTCACAGGAGTGTTTAGAGGTGTTGTACCTGGAAGGTGAGCACCCTGCACAGAAGATGGCATGTGTGCCCATCTTCCTAGTGATCGTGCCCAAAAACCCCCGTAACATCTAATCAGTGTTTCCCTAGGGCGTGCACACGGAGCGACAGGGTGAACATCTGACGTGCTCCATTATAGCCATTTGTTGTTGCGCTGTTTGCTTTTGCAGACTCGTTCTTTGCTCAGTGTGTTTGAAGAGGATGCTGGGACGCTCACAGATTACACCAATCAGCTGCTGCAGTCCATGCAGAGGGTGTATGGAGCCCAGGTATGAAACTCCCACAGCGGGGGGGGGGGGCACTTCTGTTTATGACAGTCTCAACTGTTAAATATTTATTAGTAGTATCTTTTGGGCTATTTAGCATGGAAGTCATAGAATTTGGGGATCGGTGATCACAACAACGAAATGTGTCCTCTGCATTTGACCCATATGGGGAGCAGTGCTTGGGGACAGTACCTTGCTGGTCGGGGATTTGAACCAGCAATCTGTAAGGAAGCAGGACTTAAGCTTGGTGCTAATCGCGGGGCTGTCAGGGGTGCCATAGAGCAGGGAACTGTTGGCCTCAAAATATTTGGAACATGATTGGATTGGTCTGGGTCAGGGGCCCAGAATCTCCAGGGGAACCCCTGCTGATCATGGCTGCTTTGCTGTGCTCCTTAGAACGAGATGGGCCTGGCCACAGAGCAGCTCTCCAAGCAGCTACTGGAGTATGAGAAGCAGGTGAGTTTCGGCAAAGGAGTTCGATGTCACGCCGCAATGTATTTAAAGCCATTACCTGACAGCGAGAGGATGGGCGAAGGCGGAGTGGCAGGTTGTGTTAATACCGACTTCTGCTGCAGAACAGTTTGTGGTCCACAAACTGTCTGAAGACAAGGAGCGAAAAAAAAAAAAACCCTGCCGTGCGTGAAACATTTCCTCAGAGACAGAGACGGAGACAGCGCTCGTACAGCATCACCTGTCCAAAAGCATTCGAAAAATGAACCGCCTTGAGATGAATACAGTGAGCAGTCCATGATCGGATTTTGGTCACTTACGTGACTGAGACGTTCGAGATCTCATGATCTCAAAGGTGTGTTTACAAAAAAAAAAAACACACCCCCATTTACGCACCGTGAACGTTAATGAGCCGTTTGGCCTGTTTGCTGGAGGGTGTGGTGGATTCTTCAGGCTGGGAACAGCATTCATGGAATCAGCTGTTGTTTTATTTTCCTAATGTAAGACATGACAAAATATTTATTGATGCAGACTCCTTTATTACCACTTTTATTTATTAATACCTTTTCTTTTGTAGAATTTTGCCCTGGGGAAGGGCGACGAGGAGGTCATCAGCGTGCTTCAGCATTTCGCTAAAGTCGTAGAAGAGGTGAGACTCAGATTGACGTGCCACACCTACAAGCTCGGTCGGCGTCTTTTCTGGGTCAAGCAAGACGCACGGAACCACGCCACGTGTTTCTCACCAGCACCAGGGAGACAGTCAGCATCTCTCGCGTGTGAAAAACAGTCGGTGGGGGGCATGTAGGAGGAAAGGGGTTGGCAGTAACCCAGGTGGGGAACAGAAGGGAGAGGGCGTGGAAGATGGGAGCAAACCCCCCCCCCCCGTTCATGCAGCGAGGGGTGTTAGTGGTGGGGGACACAAATTAAAGTGCAGCTTGGGAACATGATGTAAACCTTTACTGTGGAATATGTCTCTGCTCGTTAATTTAAAAAAAAAAAAAAGTGAGGAAGTAAACAGTTACTAATAGAAAACTCTAGATCTGTACATTATGGTGGGGGCCGTGTGGCTCTGTGGGTTCGGACACCATGATCAGAAGGTCGTCGGCTCCAATCCCGGGTTTGATGTAGTGATTTCTCCATCGCGCCCTTGAGCGAGGCTCCTGAGTGCCCAGTTTCTCTGTGACCTGTGGCCTGTGACCTGTGACCTGTACTACGAAGCGGGGTTACTGGCTTATCGGGGTAACTTGTCAGACTTAAGGTAGTCTGGGCAAAATGTAAGTGAGCGAATATGAAGCCCATTTAAACTGTGGTACCTTAAATCTGACAAGTTACCCCGATAATCCAGTAACCCCGCTTCGTAGTACAGCCCACAGGGGACTGTCTACCCCTGCTTTCTCAAGGCTGAGTTACTTAAAAGCATCTGCCAAATAAAAAATATATAAATATGTGAGAATTACAGGTAAGCCAGTTGTTTTTCATGAATTTTGCAATGGAGTTTCCTGTGTAGTGTTTTAGAGCAGAGTTAAAATTAGAAAATTAACACCAGGTAAAGTGTTGTTGTTGTTGATGTTATTGTTGTTGTTGTGGCTGAGAACTTTGGCACCTGACAGTTAGAAGGTGATGCGCAGCCCCTAGTGGCTCTTCCTGGGACTGCCCCGGGTGCTGAGCTCAGGAGGAGGTCTCTTTGGCATGAACTGCACGCGGCCGAACCTGCCACCTGAAACTGGACGACACACGATCCGAGGGCCTGTTTATGATCGTTGAGGGAAAATAACAGAGGTGAAAACCCAAGCCTCAGGCGGCATTTTGCTAGATGAAAGGGACCCAGGTGACAGGATACTTGTTTCGTCATCGGAGAGACTAGCAAAGGTTCTCGGATAGTTCCTGCTCTCTCTCCACCTTTGTTCTGGTCCACAGTTCACACAGTCGAGCCAGATAATAAAAGCCTATGACAGCACTCGACTCAGGTGTGCAAGTTTTAAAATAGACCAAAATGTAAGCAGGCTTTTGAGGCTTCAAGAAGAACATCAACTGTAATATTAAAAAAAAAAAAAACTAAAGTTATTTCCTGGTTCTAAAGCTGCCCTGCGGGTCTAAGCTGACTCTGAGTGTGTAAACAAACTTGCGTGTATCAACAGTTTAATTCATGTCTCAACCTCTTGGGATTTAGTTTTTTATAAACTATTCAGAAATCAGTCTAAGTAAAAACTCTTAACCTTCAGTAAAACCGCAGAACTAAATTACAGGCTGATTTTGCTTTGGATTGGTTTTGCAATATTTGCAGTCCTAGTATTCAGGGTAAGTTCCCACAGTTTGCCTGGAAATATTACGGAGATATATTTCTGTGTCTTTGACAGTGAATATCGAGGAGAAGCCATGATGCTTGGCTTTAGAAACATGAAACAAAATAAATCACTTGAGTGTTTGATCAGAATAAGCCTGATTCATATCGATGATGATCATGGTGTCATTTGAGATTGTCACTTTCTCTGCTTATATTTACAATGTGGCATTTTAGACCTGGGATTAGGGAACTATACAGCATGCAGTGCTGGGGTGTCTGTAGAATTTCTGCTTGCACACACGGGACAAGGCTCAGTGTGTCCATTCGCTCTTTCCGTAGCTGAACTCCCTCCACGCTGAGCTGGCCACTCAGATGGCAGAGAAGATGGTCTTTCCCTTGATCCAGTTCAGAGAGAAGGATCTCACAGGTAATCCTCACGTTTCTGTGATACTGACACCGCTGTGATCCATGAGGCTGACCTGTTGAAATGGCCTTTCAAGGATCAAGGATTTTTTTAATATATATATATATATATCTGTGAGATCACTAGGAAATATTTTCAATAAAGAAGCTCTGTACATTTTTGCATGTATCCAGTCCATACATGTGTGTAAATATGATGTATACCGATAAAACTACATTGCAGTACCTTTATAAGAAATTATTATTATTATTATTAGATAAAAACAATAACAATAATGATAATAATACAGCAGAAGCTTCACAGTGACACAAACCATGACTGCAAAGCTTTGCCTGTTGAACAGGTTTGACTCTGCTTCATTCCTCGATTGTTTTTGTTTTTTAGAAATAAGCACTTTGAAAGAGATTTTCGGCATTGCCACTGATGGTATGTACATACAATTACATTCTCCCCAAAAATGTTTGAGCATGTTTGCTGAAATTTCTCAATAGGCTGTGGTTTGATTAATTAAAATCTGGAGATGCTGGTGAAGCACAGCCTTCACGCTTCTTACTGCCTTCTTGTAGAGCTTGAGGTGTCTGTGGTGAAGCACAGCCTTCACGTTTCTTACTGCGTTCCTATAGAGCTTGAGGTGTCCATGGTGAAGCACAGCCTCCACGCTTCTTACTGCCTCCCTGTAGAGCTTGAGGTGTCCATGGTGAAGCACAGCCTTCACGCTTCTTACTGCCTTCCTGTAGAGCTTGAGGTGTCCATGGTGAAGCACAGCCTTCACGCTTCTTACTGTCTCCCTGTAGAGCATGAGGTGTCCATGGTGAAGTACAGCAGGCTTCCGAAGAAGAGGGAAAATGAAAAGGTACAGCTTCCAGGCTGAAGAGGCTCAGGCCAACACTTTCAGCTAGAAACGGTTCATGAGTGAAGTTTTTTCACGTACCTGTCAGTCGTCTTAATGGTGATTCCTCTTTGTGTTGGTTGACGTGTATTCAGTGGGGTTGACCTTGTAGTACCGGATGCTCTGTTGACACTGATAGATGACCTTGTCCTCACAGTAGCATGTCTGTGGGGGGAGGGGGGAAGATATCAGTCATCAGCATAATATGCTTCACGTTTGTATGTGTCTCTGTGTCCACACAGTGGTGTGATATTGCTTATTTGTAGTTGAGTAACCCTCAGCCCTTTGCTGTGTTATCATCTTTTTGTGGGTGAGTATGAGTCTAAACGGTCATGTGGTACAATGTGGCTTGAGGCAAATGAATGTCCGTTGCATTACTGTTTGTTTTTAGTTGAGTCTCTGTCATCATAATAGTGATTTTGTTTATAGTGCTTCATACTATGTGGAATACCCGTCGTCACAGTTGAGTGTTTTTGTTCGTAGATGAATATCTGTCCTTATGGAGATGTCATTGTTTCTCAGTAGGTGACTATATCTCTGCACAGTGGCCTGTTACTGTATTACTTGAGGTGAATATTTGTAAGCTGTTGTCTTGTCTGTAGCTGATGACGATCCCCACTGTGGTGTTATTGTTTTGTTTGAATTTAAGTAGTAAATATATCTTCACACAGTGGCACGGTGTTGACGTACTTGAGGTGAACATGTGTCCATTGTAGCTTTTATGTAGAACATTGTCCTTACTGTGGTGCGTTATTGGTTATAGGCGCATATCTGTCCATGTAGTGGTGTGTTAATGTTTTCTGGCTTTTATCTGGAGGTTTGCGCGTGTCCTGATGCAGGTGGTAAGTGTGTTGCACATGCCCCATCCTGCAGGTGAAGGCAGAGGTTGTTGCAGAGGTGGCGTATTCACGGAGGAAGCAGCACCAGGCCTCCCTGCAGTACTACTGTGCCCTGAACGCGCTACAGTTCCGCAAGCGGGTGGCCATGCTGGACCCTCTGCTGGGCTACACGCAGGCCCAGGTAGGCCGGACACGCCTCCCAGTTCCGGTCTCTCGCCTTTCATCTGCTGAGTCCACAGGGGCGGGTTTGTTGTTTCTAGGGCCCGACTCAAAAAGTCACTTCGGGGCCACCCCTAGTGTAGTGATTGTTTTTGGCCAGTAGGGGGCTCCCAAACCTCAGGAGCCCCATGAAAATGCGTGGTTTGAATAGTGAACACCACTGCGGTATGTCCCACTTCAGGGTTTCTCATTCTTTATTCTCTCTGTTCAGATGAACTTCTTCAGAAAAGGCATGGACGTCGTCTCCAAGAAGATGGACAGTTTCCTCATGTCAGTCTCTAACATGACACAGAGGTAAAGCTGGGTGTTTTACCTGCTTGTGAACCTGGAGTGACTCTTACATAGTTTTTTGAGGTGTTTTATTGAGTCTTGTGCCACTTTGGAAATCAAAATGTTGGTCAAGCCACATTACTACTGCCGATTCGTACAGGGCACCTTAAAGGCTCTCAGTCATTATAAACTCTGTAAGCTTGACAGGGGAGAGAATGATCAAATAAGCCGGTTATATGATCATTCCCATTAATTGGAATCATGTGACTTACTGATCATAGCGTGATTTCTGGAAAGCTGCACAGAGCATAAACAGCAATGCATAAACAGCTGTCCATAGTTAGCGTCTCCCTTTGGCCGGTGGATATGATGCAGTTCAGCCTTTAGTCTGTGTCTTATTTAAATAAGGAGATTCTTTCTTTCTTTCTTTCTTTCTTTCTTTCTTTACTCTCTCACTATTAGCATTCAGGCCCAGCTGGACTCGGAGGCGGAATCTATGCGTATGTCTCAGAGGGACCTGCTCTCCGTAGACGACACGGTCTACATGCCCGACCGCGACCGTGAACCCGTAAACCGCACCCTCATCCAGAAAGCCGGCTACCTCAACATCAGGAAGTATGGCAGCCTGTGACATCACTAGATTCAATTTTGTGTATTTTTTACAAGATTTTAATACATTTTTTGTTCTCCCAATTAGTGGTAATATTACATTTGCTGTTTAAAAAATACCACTAGAGTAATGAAAGATTGTCCCGGAAATGCCTGTTATCATAATGAGAACGTAAACAACAGCATACTTAAAGACTCTGTTAAACTAATGGGAATAAGCACTGCGTTTCCGCAACAGGAACAAGACAGATTATGAGCAATTTTCCAAACGGAATGCAGGCTGTGTTTACAGAAAATGAGCCATTTCAAATTTCCTTTTCCCTCTGTCTCCCTGCCCCCCCCCCAGCAAAACAGGCCTAGTGACCACAGCCTGGGACCGGCTCTATTTCTTCACCCAGGGAGGTAACCTTATGTGCCAGCCGCGAGGCGCTGTGGCGGGGGGTATGGTTCTGGACCTGGATAACAGCTCCGTGATGGCGGTGGAATGCGAGGACAGGCGTTACTGTTTCCAGATCACCTCCCCGACTGGAAAAACGTACGTAAACCGCTAGGGGAATATGTCTCTGCTAGGGGAATATGTCTCTGCTAGGGGAATATGTCTCTGCTAGGGGAATATGTCTCTGCTAGGGGAATTTTGGTCTTTTTTTTTTTTTTTAAACCAATCAATAATCATGTCGATATATAACTGTGCTAACATTAGAAAGTGAGTGACTGGTTTCTTTGGTAGACCTTCATTTGTAGTACAACTGATAAGCGATCAAACATGCAAATTATTGTCTGTTTTTCCTAACTTTGTAGAACCAAACAAAAACTTTTTATTCATTCAGAGGATCTTTAACATCAGTTGTAGTACTTCAGTTTTTGCTTGTCAAATTAGTATTCTGACTGAAGTGCTGAGGGTGTGTCACCTTCTCGGTTAGTGACACCCTCTGCCCCACTGTCCGGGTGCCACTAGCTCTGCTTCTCAATTATTCATACCTCGGTTGAGTCAGAGAGCATTTCGGCCGCTGGGATGGCTGTACTCCTCAAACAGTTCGCATTTCCAATACACAGTGCTCTCAGAGTCTTGGGATACTTGTTTCATTCAGTAAAACAATTGAAAAATGATTGGTTTCATAACAAGAATCATTACTTCATTCATTTACAAGAAATATATATTGCATGAGAAACAGCTGGTTGTTTTAAAGTAAAACATTTCAAATACTAGTAAATTGAAGCCCACGTTATAGTTTTTAAAGAACTGTTCTGAGTTAAATTTCACTGACAGTTAGTCTCATTTGGTACTTTGCAATAATTAAAAACACCAAACATTTGTTTATAGAATCCCTTTGGGAGCCAGTGACTACAGTTGCAATTAATAGCAAAACGGCAAGAACAGAATTAAATAAGTCAGTCAAAAAAATTGTCACACTTAGTAAAAAGGTCTGTATAGAAGATGAGTGCAGATATGTTAAACATTGCCTGTCAGGGGACTTTTGTTATGAAGCCAGTAATTTGCAACATTATTACAAAATTAAAGTGTTCCAAGACTTTGTGCAAGGACTGTACCTTTGGGAGTATAAATCTGTGAGATGTGTTCATTCATGGCATCTCGAGCCCCCCCCCTCCCCCTCCCCCCGTCTGCTGCCCTACTTGTCAGCGCAAGAGTGAGTGAGTGTCCAATTGGTTAACTAGTATGATGAGAAGTAGCGTGTTATCAGATAGCCTCAGGAAAGATGGCTGGGTTACATTTGGAAGGTAAATGGACCTGTCTCCGTGGTTACAGACCCTACAGAAGGCCCCCCCTTTGCTCGTCATTGCTTCCTTGTACTCTATGACTAAATATAGACGTGTGTGATTGATTGTCAAAAGGCTGTGGGAGATGAATGACTTGAGAACTGGCCCAGACTGTTCGTGATGCCTTATTCCGGCCATTGGTGAGGATTCTCTCTCATCTCTGTCAGCTTCTATGTAGTTGCTTTAAAAATGATCGTCTTTGAGAGCAGGAGGGTAATTAATCTGCCGCACGACCAGGTACAAGGGGCTCGAAGGGAAATTTGTCAAATGTTAATTACAAGCCTGTGGTTTATGTTTCAGGTCTCTAACCTTGCAAGCAGAAAGCAAAAAAGAATATGAAGAGGTATTTCTTTAATGTTTTATGATTTTATGCAAGATCATAGCTGTGGATTGAGTATTGGAGGAGTTCAGGTCTCCTTCCATTTAAGGGGGTTTAATCGGCTGGTTTTGATTATTTTTTTGGGGGGATTACAACCCCCACCCCCTCAAAATTTATACCCTTGATTTAAAATTTTTTTTTAATGAAAATACCCTTTATATTATACACCCTGAGGAAATTAAATTGTATATATCCATTTAGTATTTAGCCTGTATTTATTTCATATTATTAATGACATATATTCTCCAGAAAGGACATGCTGAGTTATTTATGGGAACCTCTTGTCCTACAGTGGATCTGCAGCCTGAACAACATCTCCCGGCAGATCTACCTGACAGACAACCCCGAGGTGGGCCTTTGCCAGAAAACCAGTCACACCAGTCATATATTTCTTCGACATCCACAGCGAAACCTGGAGAGGAGCTCTTCCGGCTCACCTAGACCTCACCAATTCTGGAACGTTCTGTCCTTCAAAATGAGACATTTCTCGGTCAGATGGATGGATATGCTGTCCTTCCATCAAACACTGTTTCTAATCACATGTTCGCACTGTCAGAAAAGTGCACAAAACCCCACAATATTTAATGGGATTTAATCAGGGTTTAATGCCTCCAGGTGCATGTGTGTGTGTCAGAGATGGCGCAAGGCTGAAGGTGCCGCTGTCTCTCCATCTGGACTCCGAATGGGCTGATAGTCATCTCCAGGTCTTACATAGCGGCCCAGGGGCAGAGACAGCTTAGTACCTAACCCTTTGTCTCCTTGGAGACAAAATATGGCTCCTGTTTCCGTCGGCTACACCAAAGCAAACATGCTGGTGGACTTTGTTCCTCGTTTCCTCAGCTGGTTCCTCTCCCTGCTCGTATCCCATCATACAGCAAGCAAAAGGGGAAAAAAAAAAAAAAACCAGATTGTAGAAGCATAGCCTTAGGGCTGACATACCAAATGGAACTAGGCTTAATTGAACCGCTGGCTATTAACAGCCACACTGCTGTATAATTCTGAGGAGAAGAAGGGCTGGTCCCTGAAGACGCAGCACATTTACAAGGTCGCTTTTTCCAACGTGCAGGAGTGTGCCTTCTAGTGGCGAAAGCTGGAACAGCCACGTAAACGCCGTACAGAGCAGATACTATTTATGATCAAAAAAAGACACATCTGCCGCGCCAGATGGCAATGACAACACAGCTAGAAATAAGCACATAGCACATCAACGCTGCATAGCATATGTTCTAAAAAAGAAACGGCTAATTATTTTACAAAATGTCCACATTTTAAGCTGGACTTCTAATTTACATTTGTTTAGCAAACGCTTTTGTCCAGAGCGACGTACAAGTGAGGAAAACGGCAGATTGCGGATGTAATTTGTAGCTTATAAGCCCCCCCACAGCTCTGAGCAGTAGTGATGTCTGCTTGTCAGTGGTGCTGACAGTTCTGGGTGTTTCCCAGAGGCGTCACAGACCTGATTTTGCAGTCTTCTCTGAGGTGTCACAGGTGAACGATAACTGGAAAGGCAAGTGCAAATTACAGTGATTTGCTAAGTCAACACATGGCATACATGAAATATGAAGTTTATGACGTTACTCTTCCGTTGTTACGTAGGGAGTGGCTGCGACCTGCGGGGTAGGACACCATTTATGATCAGAAGGTTTCCAGTTCAAATCCCTTTGTTGACGTAGTGACGTCAGCATTGGGTCCTTGAGCAAGGCCCTTCACCCCCAGGGTTTGCTTTTTCAAAAACAAGGATGTTCTAGATTAATGTCTCTCTATCCTGCTTTGCTGTTAATCTTGTCCCTTATCGAGCCCCGATAATCGGGGTATGGTCTGAGAGTGACCTAATCCCGGTGAATGTCATGGAGGTTGACCATCCCTCTCTCACGCTCTCAGGCAGTGGCCATCAGGCTGAACCAGACGGCTATCCAGGCGGTCACTCCCATCACCAGTTTCGAGAAGAAGCATGAGGGGTCACCCAACCGTGAAAGGTCAGAGGCCGCTATACTTAGCCATTTTACTTGAGGGACTGGGGTGGTGTTGGGCGTTGAACCCAATGCTGCCGGTAGTGTGCTGAAGTTCTTGTTCTCCTTCCCGTGGCCACAGAGCCAAGGCTGGCTCCACGCAGCCGTCCAGCGAGGCCCAGCAGAGGGAGCCCAAAGCCCCAGAGCCAGAAGAGTTGATCGCTCCTGGGACACCCATACAGTTTGACATCATGCTGCCCGCTTCAGAGTTCCTGGACCAGAACCGGGCTGGTGGGAGGTATGAAGCCATGAGCTGCTAACAGAGGGGGGTGGGTCTGCTCAGGATGGGTTTGGGCGTGGGCTGGTGAGGGAGGGGGGGTTTACAGCTTGTGTTTTTTTCCCCCCACAGACGTACAAACCCATTTGGGGAGACTGAGGAGGATAGTGTCACAGATGGAGAGTCGGCTGGTGAGCTGTGAACAGTCTGTGAGCGTCATCGGGGGGTTTGGAGATTAATCTTAAGAAGTAGGAGACTCACGAGGCATGCACAGGATATGCTCTTATTAGGACGGCCTCCAAATTAAGTCCGGAGTCACTCGGGGCACATGGCAGACGGTGGGCTCTTCCTGGTCTTAGTCATGATTGGCCTGTGTTCCGCGCAGACTCACTGCTGCAGCAGGTGTTCGCTGTGCGATTCCTGGGCTCCATGGCTGTACGTTCTGGACACAGCCCCGAGGTCATCTACGAGGCCATGAGGCAGGTCTTGGCTGCTCGCGCCATCCATAACATCTTCCGGACTGCCGAGTCGCACCTCATGGTCACCAGCGGTTCCCTCAGGTGAGACCAGGGATGTTTCTCATTCCCAAAAATGCATCATACTTGTGGTCTCGGCAAGAACGGTCTTGCTAACTTGCTTCCCAAGAACTAACTTGGGGCGCAATGAATCATGGGATTGGTCTTGTTTGGTGAGGATGCAACCGATGTATCCTTGATATTTGGGGCAAGAACAGTATCTGGGGATTTTTTACCGTCCTGTGACCAGAATTGTTTGTTTATTTATTGTCTATATTATTTTTCACAGGCTGATTGACCCTCAAACACAAGTTACTAAGATAAGTGTAAGTGTCTCCTAGTCTCCTTGTCTTGTCTCGTCTTCTGGTGCTTGGCAGTAGATTCAACCATTTGTATAGCGTGCCCTGCATGGCTACGACAAGGACCATGTCTCACTGTGACATCATCTTGGCTCCTTCCAGTTCCAGCTGCAGGACGTGACCCAGTTTGCAGCCCACCAGGAGAACAGCCGGCTGGTGGGATTCGTGGTGGAGAGCCAGGACTGGGCTGAGGGAGGCGAGGAGGGTGAAGCCTCCTACAGTGCCTTTGTGTTCGAGAGCAACACGGAAGGAGAGAAGGTGCGGGTCGCCTTGCAGAATAAACCCGCATGTGAGAACCTTCATAGTGGAAGGACATAGACGTGTACCAATAACTAATATTATAAACCCTTTCTTACAGATATGTTATACTATCAGTCTAGGCAAGGAGATCATCGAGGCCAAAAAGGTAAGACGCATTTTTAAGCTTGAGTTATTTTTTATGATTGTACCCTACTGGTTCTTGTAATTAAGAAACAGAGAAGTAAAGAAAATGGAAGTTGGTCTAAGAAATTGCTTCCCAACACTAAACTTCCTCTGTTTCTGTCTTTGAGGTGTCTCTAGCTTTAGGCCGGTGAATTTTATTGTAGAACTCTGTGGATTTCCCGGCATGATGACCCCGACATGTGCACACAGGACCCCGAGGCCCTGGCTCGACTGCTAAAGTCCATGCCCCTGACAAGCGACGGGAAGTTCCTGCTGCTGGAGGGCGAGGTGGGCGGCGCGGAGAACGGTGCGGGCCCAGACGGGCTGGAGTCCGAGGCCTAGCCAGAAAGCGGCGACGGCGGGTGCCTGGATCTCTACCCCAGAACTTTTGTACAGCCCATCATTCTCTACACGTCCCTCACGTGGGTCTTTAGGGAGAAGCTTTCTCACACAGGGACGGCGTGTCGGGACCGTTAACATAGCAGTTCTCCTGGTGGAAGTTACGGAAGGCTTTTAGCGCAGAGTTTGTGTTGCGGCTGATCTGTGACGCCCCTGTAATCAGTAGGTGGACTTTTCCATGTGACTTTAAGGTAAAGGGCTCATCTTGAGCCAAAATCCTGACCCCGCCCACAGGTAGAGGAAAACCCGCTCTCACTTCTGCACTCAGCACCCCACTGCATTTTTCTTTCCTTCTGCATCTCTACAAAAAGTTGCACTTTAAAGGGGGGGGGGAGGGGGTTCAAACAGACGGCAGGTTTTCTTTTCGTTAATCCATGCAGATTTGCGGTAATCCTCTGTCGAAGACAGACTGACCTTAACCCCGTATTTAAATTAGTGGTCTTTTAATCAGGAGCCAGATGGGGAAATCCTCTGAAAGTTGGCTTTGGCTGAATGAACCCACAGGGGTGAATTCCACCGGGCCAAGATTGTATTATATTTTGGGGGAAAAAATAACCTGATTTCACGTGGGAGACGTTTTGAGTTTTTTTTTTTTTTTTTTTTGACAAGCCTTGAAAAGAGATCCCACAGAGAAGTTTGAAGGTAAAACCTAACCCAAGGCATTTCTGTCAGCTGTACTGTCAGTGCTGAGGTTTTAATATCTGCTTCGAATTGCAACGATCTGACGGAAGAGCAACGTTAACGATGTCGAGCACGTCCCTGAGGTTTGATGCTGGAATGTCGCTATATCAAAGGTAAAATGGGGCTTCAGTAACTATGGCTCAGACGAATGCTTACAGCAATGCAGATAAAATAATGACATCGTGTCTGGGAAGGATAGAGTGCCCAAGCCATCTAACATCTTTGAGGGGCTGTATCAGCTGTGATAACACCTGCGGCCACTTGATGGCACTGTTGTGCAAACGGTGCACTTGACTCACAATCGGGCCTCTGTCTTTTGAGCCATGACATGATAACGAGTGTATTTTGCTTGCATTAAGGTGCACCTGATTGTGACCGGTGAAGTATCATGTTTACAGTGCATGCATGCGGTTGTGAGATTTGTCTGTTTGCATTTAATTCAATACCAGCCATTAAGAAAACCGATATCTATTTACATTATGTAATATACGCCTAGTCTAACAATCAGAATCTGTTGCTCATTGCATTCTTTGAGTTGCATAAGAATGAGGTCAGAAAAACAGCAAAGTTGCACACTAATTGAAAGACACATTTGCCTTTAATTGTTGTAGACTCTCCTAAAGGTCCTTGCATAATGCTCCTTGCCGATCTTGTTTTTTTTTTGGCTACCTAACGGTTATTTTGGCTTCTGAAAGGCTGTTGTCACAGATTATTCATTTCGTCTAATGCTGTTAGTATTCATAGAATGAAGGAATGGGAGGTGTGGAGCTTTATCATTGTTTACATGTCAAACTGTGGAAGGAGTCCTTTCATCAGTGGGATGCAGTCTCCATTAATGTCAATTGTCCTTTTCCCCATAACGCCTCCTGATTCAACTGCCGTGCTCTTCACTGATTGGCAAATGCTTTTTATAATTTTTTCGTGCATCTAAATTTTTTTCAGGACTACAGCCAATTAAGATGCCCATGTATCCACTTCTTGTAAGGCATTTAACATACTTTGGCCTAATATTTCATAAATCCTTCTTATTCCTGACCTTTAATAAAATTAAACGCCTTTTCTTTTGTATTTTCTTACATTTTCTTTATTTATTCCACCCCCGAAGTATCACTTGCGTGACCATTATCATGGAGGACTAGAGAATTTTCCGGAACTGCCGACCAGTTTTCCTTTTGAGTTTAGGATGAATGGCTATTCTGAAAATTAATTCTTAGCATGTCACTAAAAATAGTGTGTGGTATCAGCATATTAATGTAATAATTAAAATTCGGGGGTCAGGAGTGTGTCGATAGGAACCTCGCTGGGATTGACGGGTGAAAGTGACAGACGAGAAGAGGACAAGATGAAAGAAGTGGCAGATGACGAGTCAGTGTGACGGCAGTGGCCTCCTCACCTGGCACTCCATCTCCAGCTGCTGTCCTTGGGCTTGTCGTCGGACGGGCGCTGACACACTTACCGTCCTGCTGGCAGGAGGGAGGCTCCGGCATGTACCAGTCTCACAAAACTGGACCGACTGGATGCGGTTCAGATGCTCGTTCAGTCACTTAAACCACAAAAGACGGTGATTATGACGCCGGATTTGTCCGAAGGCCGTTAAGCAAGCTTTCGGATTACTTCACCGGAATAGGATTTACTAACGGATAAGGTGTGGGATAAGGTGTGATGTTACTGTGGATAAAGGTCTTCGGCACAATGGCCTTTCATAGGCCGGGAAAGTGTGTTTTTCAGTGTGAGGTGAAGAATGCTGCAGTGCTGACATTGACGCAGGTGCAAACAGCCAGCGTGTCACACTCCAGCATTTTGCTCAGTGACAGCACCCTTAGCCTGATTGATTAGCTCAGTCTGAGGACACGGACTGCTGCCCTGAATGCCAGCACCATTCCCATCTTGTCGTCCTACGCTTCCATGGCGTGACACTTTTACACGGCCCAATGCAATTGTCTCCGCGTTTCAATAACCTAAGTAGCGCAGGTGGGGAGATTGTATTGCTGTACCTGAGCTTAGTGGGGTTTTTTTTCTTTTCAATAATCCATCTTCTCAATTTCCTGTAAGGAGAAGCTTATATAATTCAAAGCAATACAATAGAAGACGTTTGAACTGGTCACAATCAACTGTGCACGATTGTCCTCTGGATGTTATGAATATTAAATAATGCTCACGGTGACTGAGAATGGCACTTCGCAGTTGCGTGATGTCATTTTCCTTCTAATGCCAGGGACCGGCGCCGTGTGAATCTGGTCACGTTGCCAGTTCCATGACCTTGTTATACTGGGAACGGGAGCCGGATCCAGAGAAACAGAGGGTGGGACGTGCTGGGATGGCACATTCTTACTCTCAAATGGTCCCTGCACCCCAGGAACCTCCATAAAACAGTGGGTTTGAGTATCTTTCACTCTGGGCTTGGGATGATGTAGGACCCACTGAACAAACTCAAGTCTGCAATCTGCTGGTTGTGATAGGATTTAAAGGGTAGAATATTGTTGTAAATTGTACAACATCCTTTGATAGCTTATGTGGTAGAGTGGGGGGCTATAGCAGAAAGATGTGGGCATCATTAGGTTTCTGGTTTGAATCTAGCTTAAAGGAGTAATATTTTCATGGGTGTTTGTGGTAAGAAGGTTGCTGGCTCTAATCCCAGGGTTAGCCCTTGAGCGAGGTTCCTGACCCCTAGTTACTCCAGATTCTGCCTTATGAAGTTTGTCGCTTTGGAAAGAGTCTACCAAAAAATGTGTACCACTAAGACCCTGTGTGCTGCTCCTCAAACCATAGGCAAGAGCTGTGATCTCTCAACATTTGGTTGGAGAAAGATTGATATTTACATCACTGTAAGGAAACGTTCAGACAATATCAGTGAAACTTTGGATGTATGAAGACTGGTATTAGCAAAACTGTAGTCAGATGGTTGTTAACTTTTTTTGACAAACACTTGCAAGGACAAAGAGGGAACCCTAGTAATTTAAAGCCGTGTTTCGCAATCCGGTCCTCGGAGACCACCAGCACACCATGTTTTTGCTCCCTCCCAGCTCACTGCCAGACAGTCCACATTTTTGCTCCCTCCCAGCTCCTTCCCCCCCCTACAAATCCTACTTGGAATATCATTAGCCTCCAAACAGGGGCCCAGGTTGTCCTATAGGTGTTTCCTCAACTAATCTGCAAAATCCTGATAGTTAATCTGCTCTGCCTGGCAAATACGAAAACTTGGTGTGGTAAATGACATCTGCAACCCCAATTTCTTTGAATTCAGACATGTAAGGTCAGCTGTCTGAGCAGTGTATGACTCAGCAAGTAACGCCACCTATGAGCAGCAGGTCGGCAGATCAAATCCCCTGATTGGCTGAGTGATTTCACTGTTGGGTCCTTCAGCAAAGCCCTCAACTCCCAGTTACACCAAAAACGAGCTGGTCCTGCTTTCCTAACCATGCTTCACTTTAGATATAAGCATCTGCTGAATAAATAAACTTAACACATAACGAAATCTAGCAAATGCAATAAAAACATGCCCATTTAACAAACTTATAATAACCTAGTGTCTGACAGGCTTGATTGCCAGACAGCTTAGTTCAGAGTAAGCCATTCCAAGTTTTCTAGGGAAAAAATACATATAAATAGCAGTTTATGAGCACTTGGCTTTTTAGACCTGCTGTTGTTTTTTGCGGCTGTGTCAAATTTTATAAACTGGGACCAGCTGGCTCTCTCCTTTGCCTAACCCCATCTTAAGTAACTCAGGAAAAACGCCCAGTTTGGCAGTTTGCGTTAGGATAACGCTCTGAACCCAGCTACCACGCCGTGGCGAGAAGTTAATTGAAAACCGATCAGTCGTCTCGCCCTTTTCAAAATGTGACTTTACCCTGCCGTAGTCCAGTGCCGTCTCCAAGGAGAATGAAGTGTGTTTCATAAATAACTACAGCACTAAACATGGCAGCAGTCTCAAAGTAATCTATTTTTTGTGTACTTACTGCTGCCAATGGGGGCAGATTTTATTTTATTTTTTTCTCCTCATTTAGTCAAGTATGTCAAACAGAAATTGTTTTCAGAGCACAAATTAAGACTCATGCATTATCATCAACTGGATCACCGTAATTTAAAAAAGGAACAAATTATGCTGCAGGAACGAAACCTTACGATCCTTAATGGGCTTATTACCCAAAGCACTGCTTATATTTCAGACTGCGCGCGTAACACATCTCCAGTTAGCTTTTAATTTTAATTAGTAACGATTTCAAACCATCTGCGGCGACTCACACCAGACAGACACCGACGTGAAGCTGTGGCTTAGATCAATATCTTTGTCTAAAACAAGGAAGCAGTTCGACATGCAGAAGCCTTGTAACATCTGTTTACTGATCGGCGGGTGAATTATTTATCGCAACCTGCCCCCCCCAGCCGCCGCCACCCTTTGAGCACGTCCCTTGAAAAGGTGCCCATCGCATCCTTGAGCTGTGTGTACTGTGTACTTCCTCTCCTGGGGGTAGCTACTATCAAAAGCAGCTTCGCGTCAGGAGGTGCGGCCACCGCCGACCTGCAGGGGGCGTCGCTGCCGTGCGCAGGTGCACGTGGATATAGACCGCGCGGGTTTCATCTCCACCGTCACAGAGGGAGGAGCCGGAGTTTCTCGGCAAGACGTCGCATTAGGCCGACTGCATGGTATTTAACGTGTTCCGCCATTGTGGTTCCCCAAAACCCCTCGGTAGGAATTCATCTAAAAAAAAAAATTTAAACTTGATTCTTGGTTAAAAGAAAAACATCTCAGCGTTTGTTTAACAAGTGGGGATTTTGATAATGGAATGTAATTATGCCGGCATTGCTGCCACCCTTGAAGTCAATTTCTATGTGCATATCTGGCGCTAATCAGTGTGTATATAGCGGGGCTTTCTTGGGAATCAGGGAGCTCTTTGATACCCCTTCCAATGCTTCGAGGTTTGTTGGGAAATGAGACAAGAGGAGGTACTTTATCTCTCCCCCCCCCCTTTTTCAAATTTATTTTTAGAAGCTGTTAGTGGTTTAATGAGTATTTCTTTACAGAGCTTCCAGGCATTGCTAGAGGTCTTAAATATATGAAATAGTTTACATTAAAATACAATTCGTTTTTTATATTTTATTTTAAGATTCACCAAATACAAAATGTTGGTCAGTTAGACTTGGTGATAGTTTACAGCTGTTGGATATTGTGTTGGGGGGGGGGGGGGTGCATTACTGTAGGGGTGCCAGGATACCTAGGGAAGTACGAGCCGACTTTGTACATACAGCTCAAGGAAAAACCACATATACACACGCACATACACACACACACACATTAAGAAAGAGAAACCACTATCCATATTCCACTGTGGACAAATCAGGTGTAGCGTACCTCTTCAGTGATGCCTATGAATAAACAGTGGTATTCTTCATGTCCCCCAACCCGCACTAACAAGGAAAGATAGACCACCGGCACAACAAACCTAACCCTGGGTATTTAAATGCATAGGCTTGTACAACTGGAATACAGGGACAGCAAGTTTTACAATGTCTATATGTTAGGATAATGGAAAATAAAAAATAACTGCACAGCAGTAAGGTAAGAATACAGATGCACATTTCTTACATGTATTTCATACATACGTGTGTACAATATGTAAAACAAGATTCTATTTTTGTAACACAGGAAGAGGAAAAACACGAATTTTCACTTGAGTAATAATCTGGGTTTTTAAGTTGTTGCCTTAACCTTCAAACCCATAAGAAGCTAACGAACATTCAGCACTAACTCATAGCTCACCTATGTAGAAAACTCTGCGTGTTTTTTTTTTTTTAGGCATTCAGCTTGTCAAGCTTGTCACACATATTGGCACAAGACCGCCGCAGTAGTTGTTGGCAGAATGTCAACATCAACCTTGCTGCACCCTTGTCACCATAAAAATGGTATCATCACGAATAGAAGTTATAAGGCACAGTTTGGTTTAAAAAAGGCAGAAGCTTCGTACTGAGCTATCAGCACTGGGCTGACTGGTAAACAACTGACATTGGTGTGTTTTTTTTTTTTTTTTGAAGAAAGGTGATTAAGATCAAAATCAACTGCTAGTGTAAATCCTCACAGTGCAGAGATCCTCCCTGTAGTGCAGCCACTGGCTCTAAAGTCTACTCTGCAGGCAGACGACGGCTGATCTCAAACTTGAGGCCCAACATTATGCTAATGCTAAAATGTGTTAGCATTCAGCTGCAATAGCCAAATTGTTGCACATCTCAAATATGAAATCAGCTGTGATAATTTGTTGGTGCTATAATGATTTCAAAGTGATATTATGTTCTATATGGGTTCAGATAGTGATCACTGATCTTAAAGCACCAGTCCAATCCCAGAACTGATAGCTTATAGGGGGTGACAGCTTTGCAATAAATAATCTGAAGTACCATTCGGTTACTCATCTCGTTATTGATAAGCATAATCATTTATATCCACTACGATGGTGCATTGTTCTCTGAGGTGAAAGCACATTTTGTTAACAGACATAACAGTCAATACCACTAAGCATTAACCACTGAATGCGCTAATTCGTGTAAGGAAATTAATACGTTACGTTTGAGTTGCCACCACATATATTTTAAAAAATAAAAAACAGGAACCTGATTATACTCAAATTCTGGAGTGGGCTTTGTGGACCATATATACACACACTTTAGTAGATTTGAGTTTTTTTTTTTTTTTTTTTAAAAAAAAGGAAAATTGAGTTTGTGCTGCAGTACCTTATTTCAGTGTAGAATTCCTGCGCCTTTAAAACAAGCCAGTGCTGAACATATGACACACTAACAGTTTTTAACAATGTGTTATAGCAGATATCAAACTGACCTGCAATTCCACCTGTGTCTCACAGAATCTGGCATTTGCATGATGAGTAATCAATGCATATATAATGAATTATAGCTACCAGAATCAAATTTCATATCTATTAGTGTGAAAAAATGACACCTGATATTTTTATCATGTGCTTTAGCAAACCCTTAGGTCTGGCTTGCATGAAGATTTAATGCTAAGGCTATATAAATGGATTTGAGATTGTGGATAGTTCACATAGATTCTAGTTACACTCTGCAGTATATTCTAAATGTTTCATCTCTGCAATACAATTGGTCCAGAAACATCTTTCACTAAGGACTGTACAAAATATATATAAAAACTAAAATGACTCTGGTGTGCTTTTTGTATTGTTTTGTTATAGAAAGGGAAATTTAAAAAGCAATAAATTCCCAGCAATACCTGTCCTCAAAAACACCTCATCTAAGATGTTATGGAACAGGCATCTCTTAGCAGGCACAAAGAACAAATAACTCAATAAAAAAATGACAGTATATTGGATGAATTAAAACCAACTGCACTGAATACTAGCCAGCCACATTTCAGTCTTGCAGTTTTAACTACATTTTTCCAACACATGATTCTGGGGGGGCGGGGGGGGGTACTGCCCGTGTCTGCCAACGGTGGTAGAGGCTCTATAGGTAACATACATTTCCATCCATTCTCTGCATCCCCCTGTATTTACTTGTAAAAATACAATTAAACTAAAATGGCTGTCAATTTAAAAAGTGAATTACTTCTTATAAAGCTTTCTGAATAAAGAATACAATAAAAAATATACAATACTATTATTAAACATTTCTACACAAGAAGAAATTGAACATCTGATTATCATCAAAGCTCATGATTAATGCAGGGCTTATTTCGTAGGCCAAGTCGCCATGGAGATGGCTGAGAACTGGTGATCTCCACCTGTTAACATGATCTGGCGCAGGGTCTGCGGCGGACCCCACAGACAGTTGAGAATTCAGTTGTGTCTTGGCACTGGGTGCTGTCATTGGCAGGATTATTTTTTTTTTGTTTTATGAGACAAATGTCATTGCTTTCAGTTCATCTTGGTCTTGTAAGCACTACCTCTGGTCCTTCTGATGGCTGTGTGCAGGTGACGGCGGACATTTAATTGTGCACTCTTTTTCAGAGCACGGAGTAGCCCCCTCCTCTCGTGAAATAAACCCCACATTAACACCGGCGATACTGAACCGCATCCGCTTGCCGGCCTCCCTCGGAGGTTACAGATCAGTCACTTTGTTCTCCAGCGCGGCAGCTATCTGCTGCAGGCGCAGGGTCAGCTGTTTATTCTGAGCTGCGGGGTCCTCATCCAGGGAGGTAATGATCTACAGACAAGGGAGAGACTTTATGTTTCACCGCAGACCCATAGCTGAGACTCGGATCCAGGTGTTCAAATAAAACGCTGACTGGATGCTGGGTAAGACACGTACCACATCGTAGTATTTGCTTGCATACTGGTAGAGCTGGTGCAGGGCCACTTGGGTATTGAGTTTGTCAGTGTGCGACTGAAAGACATGAGAGGGAACTGGCTGCAGAAGCTCATCCGGGACGCATCAGCAAGACTCCCCAAAACAAGGCAGACAAACTTACTTTTGTTTTTTGTTCCATTTTAATCTATTTCTCGGGTTGTCAAGTTAAGACTGCAATGAACACCATAGCCGTGCACAAAAAAAAAAAACATTCGACCAAATTTCAGAAGACTCTCTCACCCGTGACACCTCTGCCAGGTGGGTATTCATGTCTTGGTCACTGACGGATATCATTTGCCTGATGCCCCTGTAGTATCTACAAAGATAACATACATTAGTATTGCTAAAAATATTAAATATTCATGAACGACTGTTACACAGATGGGATAACTGATGGATAATATAGACGGCACTTACTCATCCACCATTTTCTTGTATGTGGAGATTTCCTTTGCATAGAGTAATTTGTTACTTGGAGAGTCCTGCAAGCACAGCCAGTGTGACAATGGGATTAAGGTTCTGAAATGACATTTCAGCTCAGGAGACTACCATCTGTTTCACCCCCATCAACCTGATGCAACTTCAACACTGTCTGGCAGCTCCCACTCACCCGGCTCAGCTTGTGTTCGCTTTTGGTGCAGGCGTCCATAAAGGTCTGGGCGATGACCGACAGCGAGGCATCCACCACTTCGGATACGTGGACGTCGAAGATGAAGTGGGGGTTCTTCAGGATGTTAACCCAGAACCTCAGAGGCAAGCTGCCAACAAGAGGGACTCGTCTTTACAACGACCACACATTGACGTCTACTCTGCTAATAACCAACAGGAATGTCACACCTGTTACACTCATCATGGACAACGTCTTGTTGCATCATCTTTGAGATCATTCCGCATCAATCAATATGCCATTTCGGTTTTTCAGCACTCAGATCTACAGGCATGCAGCTATGGTTAACAGCCCCACAATCTGGAGGACTGCGAGTCAGGGAACACGTACTGAATGCAATATCTATATAAAATGTATTATAAATCATCCAAGTATGAAACTGGTACATTGATCACATATTCATTTAGCAATGGAAACTCTGAAATGAGTGTTCTAAGTCACGTCTGATTTTGATACCAAGAGAGGTAAACAAACAAAGACTGCTCCTAATAAATTAGCTAGGGACGTAATTATGCTGTCTGTTAAGCAGTACAACACATATCCATATTTAATAGCAAACTAAGGCATCAGTGAGCCAGCTGTGGCATAATTGCACGGTTCGTCACCCATGTGCAGAATGTTAACATGTTTGGGTCTGCACCCCCACCCCCGGTAGCATCTGTCAATCAATGGCAAAGGACTATGACACAGATGGGATATCAGAGCATTACATTTACATCTGCTTTTCCCTAGCAATGCGATGGAAACATTCACCAGGCTTTCAGAGGGGACACTAAGCAGGAAGAACTGAATATTTATAGAAATGCCCGCACATGCCTGCATGCTCTCGCTCGCCAGATGCTCAGGTGGCATACCTGTTAGTCTTCCAGATGTGGATTGTCTCATCGTCCACGTTGTCATGCTTCTGTGCCTGCTCATCCAAGAAATCAAAGAAGTACTTAACAGCCGGGGGCACCACTGCCCCTGAACACAGGACGCCGCGGAAGAAGTCGTCCACGAACTTCTGCAAGGTGCCCTGAAATACACAAATGAGGCACATGCATGTCACACACAAAGTCAAAGCCACAAGAGGACACACCTCATCCTAACGATCCTTTCCGAACACCAAATGACTGTAGAAAACTTGGTTTGGTTTTGCATCCTTATAGATACCCATCCATCCATCCATACTCGCTTGTCCTATTCAGGGTCACAGGGGATCTGGAGCCTATTCTGGATGCTACAGGCACAAGCCAGGGAACAACCCAGGATAGGGTGCCAACCCACTGCAGGGTTGTTTTTGTATTGTGGAAGGGGGAGACTGGGGTACCTGGAGGAAAACCTACAAACTCCATAGAGCCATGGGGAAACTTGAACCCTGGTCTCAGAGGTATGAGGCAACAGCTCTACCCACTGCACAGCCCCCATCCCCCCACAGATATCATTTAAGTTTAAGTACAATTTGAAAAAAAGAGTACCTACATTAACAGTTTTGTAACCATTGCACAGGCTTCAGTAGTCCAATGTATCAAGAAATCTGACCTTCACAGAGAGCAACCGTGTGAGATAAAGCTCGGTGATGGCTTTGGTCATTGACTTTTCCTTGCTGCCTTTCTTGACCTCATCCAGATCGTCCGTTGACCGCACCAAGTGGAAAACTTTGTCGTCATCCAGCAAATTATTTGCTGGAGAAGCGGATGCAGGAAGAAAAGGGTGCAGAAAACAAGTCAACTGGTGTTGGTAAATGGGGTAAGAAGGAAACAAATGTGCAAAGTGACCACTCACTCTCTTCGTGGCTGTCCTGATGCTGCTCAAAAGACTGTAGTGGATGAAGGACCCTGGACAAGACCAGGGTTGCATTGTCCCGCACCTGAAACACAGGCTTCAGGTCAGATCTGCGTGTGGTGCAGACGCAAAGCAGCCATTTCTGCCAGAATCAAAGTACCAATATCTTGTTCTGTTACTCACATTATAGTGTGCCAAAGTGTTCATTCTTCTCCATCTACCTTCTTTCTGGGATGTCAAGTCCAGGTCAGATAAGATCTGTCCAGTGGAGCCAGGGCGCCATTCTATAGTGGGAAGAAATACCGTCTCAAGAAAGTATAAAATATATAGCCCAGTCACTCTGATACTACAATTCACCACTGAGCCCATTTAAGTTGTAGCTGTACTTATAGCAACAGTGAGTAATTACATATTATTCCAGATAATCCAAAGATTTCTTATTCATTGATTTATGAAGTCCTCACCAAGTGTTACACTCTCCATCATGGGTCTCTGAGAGTAGGGCAGGTTTTTATACACCTGGTCGATGATCTTCTCCTTCACCTGGGAGATGGTATCGCAGTTGAGCACCTTCACCAGGGTGACGTCCGGCCCCTCTCCATGTACCAGCACCTGCAGAGTCTAATTGGAGAGACAGTAATTATCAGTAGGTTTTGGGCCTGATCCCCTCTAAAGCATTCATCCAGAGGTTGAAAGTTCAGTTTCAGAAAGTACAAATTCAGACTAATATTTTGTTTCAGAGTACTCTGTGATTGTGACTCTTTACACTCAACTGTTTGGTTGAAATAAAATCCTGGTCTGGATTTGTACTTTCTGAACCTGAAATTTCCACCTTTGCCTTCCTCCCATCATGCAACCTTAAAGCATTTTGATGCTTTCAAGTATTTCACCGAGGTGACCTGGGGATACATACATAAAGAGAACACTGCAAGAGAACATGGCTCTCTTGGCCCTCGCTTACCAATGGGCAGTACTCCACATCGTCCCCCAGGAGACCAGTATCGTTCAGTGTGTACTTGGCCTTCTTCACCACCGCATCGATGGGGCCCTTCTCCACCTGGTGCTTGATGGCCTTGAACAGCTTGTACAGAGGCTCCCCTGCAGAGTCCTGCCCACACAAACAGCACAAATGCGGAGTGAGTGACAACCAAGCTGATCGCAGCAACTTCATGAGCTGCTCTCCAGACCAAACTTAGCCTGCGACTTCATGTGAAGCAACTTATTCTGTTTCAGCCACGACTAATCCTGTATAATCCTGCTAAAATTGCCGTAATAACAGAAGGAAATAATTCAGAGAGAAGAAACTGAAGGTTTCCATATTTGTCTTTTAGAACCTTTGGTCATACATTTCCCTCACCTTTAGGAATTGATAAAGGCAGATGGACATCCAGTTGCACAGCATTCGCTCAACCACAGTCTCTGATCTATGGGGGTGGGGCAGTAATAGACATCATGATTCAAGAGCCACCAACAGGAAGAGTAGAGCATGTTGATTCTGAGTGCATAGGTCCCTTATTGCAACATGCCTCACCTGCGCAACATTAGCTTGGGGTTCTTGCTGCGGACATACTGCTCCATGAGTTCGAGCAGCAGAGTCCTCATGATGTCCGTGTAGTACTCCAGCTTACCGTGCAATGCCACCGTGAGTAAGGAGGCAAAGTATCCCCTGGCCCGGGCGTTGAAGTCTGGCCGAGACTCCAGGGTGCGAATAAACTGGCAAGGCAGCAAATGAAGTCATGCCCAATGTCTTTGTAACAATGATACAGCCAAGAAAAATACTCACGACTTGAAACTCTTTGATTAGGCATCACTTTGCTCAAGAATAACATGGATGGTTTTGGGCTCACATTGATGAGGAAGGGCTTGCTGTTCAGCAGGTTGGAGAACTGGTTAAGGGCCTGTGTCACAGTGGCCCTCCTTCCCTCGGGGATGTCCAGCTTGCCCGTAATCATGACATCTTTGGCACCATCCTTAGAGGGCAGGAAGAAGACGCGGTCCGTGTACGTCTTGTAGTCCAAGAAGGGGATGCGACCCTCACTGAGGTCACTGGTATGCTCGTCCATTTCAATCATGAGATCTGAAAGGCATAACGGTCCAATAATTAAACCCCACAACTGAGAGGACATTTGCTTTACATTAACTGCACCTTCGAAGTGTATGTATAATGCATTCACAGAACATATGTACTTTAACCTGTCTTAAAGCATTACATTCATAACACTTTCAATGAACAAGATATGACATCTGTAACATACTTTAATATCATATATTCATATAATGTTGGTTATTAATACATTAAAGCTGTTGCATCCTAAGGTACACTTACATGCTGCTTATGACTATGAATGCATTATGAAGGTGCCCTGAATGTTCTATGAATGCATTATAAAGGCATTATGAAGGTGCAGTTAGTGTAAAGCATTGCCAGACAATTGCTTTGCTTGAATATTGTTGATGACAATTGGCTATGACCTTTGGAAAATAAGGAGACTGAGCTTTAAAATTTAAACTCGAAATATGTATAATTGAGAGACCTGTGAACTCTTTCTTGCAGCGGTCACGAACGCTCTCCTCCAGGTTCTCCAGCTGGTGCTTCACCTTTTCATACTCTCTTTCAGCCTGCTGGCTTTTCCTCCTGTACAGGACATGCATGTGAATGCACACTCAAGTGCACACAAGCACATTCAGGGTCAGAAATATGAAACTAAATCTCTTACCTATAGCAGTAGACAGCAATTATGATTATAATCAGCATGGGAGTGATCACGGCAGGAATGATGATCTCCAAAGGAACATCTGTTCTCCCTCCATATTCGACCGAACCGACTATCCATTCGCCTTTACCAAATATGATCTGAAAGGAAACCAAAAATCCAAGGCATGAGTAGACTACCAGTTAAACTTGCATTCAGAAGAGATTCAGACGTCGTGTTTAATCTCACTGAAGTGTGCTTGATACATTTAATGCTCAAAGGCAGCACAGTTGCTCACCATGAGCTCCAGCTGGTCTGAACTGGTGTCTCTCTTGGGCCTCTTGGAACGTAATGTTGGGGGAGAGGTTGGGGCCTCTAGGAACAATTTGTCATCCTGCAAGGTGTTGACCACACATTTGGCATCTCCCAAAAAGGCTTCTGCCTCCTCAGCAGTCATTGCCCTGGCAAAACCGCTGCCCTGCATAGGCAAAGGAGGAAGTAATCCTAAGGCAACGTAAACAAAATCCAAATTTACAGGAAAGAGCACGATGGAGACAGTGATGACTGAGGTAACTTCTTTGAATGTCTTGCTTACCGTGACAGATATGATACTGTTTTCTGTTATTTTCTTCCTTTGAAGCTCATCAAAAATAGGATCACTATGGTATTTAAACTTGGTCATTTCAGTCCTGATATTATCCAAAACTATGTAGGTTCTGCAGGACTGGATGTCCTCGGTCTTGTTCACAGTTGGGGAGAAGAAGCGAAGTGTCGTATCATTTCTGCTGAAGGCCTCTTGTTCATACTGAAAGGGGAATTGGACACTTGATTCACTGCTATCATGATGTGTTCAGACATTTCAGTGAAGGGTATAGTCCAAGGCTGTAACCTTGATATCGGTCTGTCCTATCAGGTGTCAGTATTCACAACTTCATTACCCAGTGATTGTATTCTGCTACAGATGGTAATTTCATCATCTTCACTGTACACATACCTCCACTGGGCTGCTACTGGTTGAGTGCTTGACTTCCACCACCATTTTGGCTTTCTGGATAGGAGCAAATCTAGAGCCTTTCGCCTCAATCTTCCTCCCACCGCTGAAACCAGCAGAAGAGCACACTTCAAGAGCCTAACACTTCAAGCCATATAAACACAATCCTTATTTTGGATATCTTGCGAAGGTTTCATTCAAAGTGATCCTACTAGCAGCTGATGCATTTACAACAATTCCAATTATTTTTAATTTGTTTCCACAATTTTTTTCAATGACTTCTCCTACTGGGTCAAACACATTAAGTAGTCAATGATACAACAGGGACTCACCAATAAAAACTCTCTTCTGGGTAAAGGCCGTCTACTTTGGGGTTCTGTAAGAACCTGAACGACTTAACCTGCTTTGTGGTGGTCTTTCCATAACGGACTTGGACCAACAGGTCGTCAGATGGGACATCTGGGTCATACTTGCCAGTTTTACATGTAATTGTTTTGTTGAATGTCTCACTGTGAATAGGGACATGAATTTATTATATGGCAGGGCACACTGAGTCATCACAAAGAAAATACTGTTATAAAAAGCCCCTTTCTGTGAAGTGGACACACTCATATTTTTTCATTACTGCTTTTTTTTTTTGCACCATGTTGAACACCCCTTTGTGAAAAGCCAATCGTCATCACAGGCGCTACTGGAGGAGAATAACCCCTTTAGTGCCAAGATGCACACTTACACAGTGCAGGGAGCACCACCTATAGAAATGTGGAGGTCCTCCTTGCTGCCTGTGTCCAAATCTGTTCCAGATATGGTGATAACTGTCCCCCCTGCTAGTGGGCCCTGGAGTGGCTCAATCTTGTCAGGTTCAGGATCCTACAGGGTTTGAGGGAGTGGGGGAGATGGCATTTAGACTATTCCATGAGAATGCTTTACAAAAGCCAGTGAGAAAAAGAGATCAAAAACACTTGCAAACAGAACCGATAACCCAGGATGGGGCGCCAAGCCATCGCAAGGTCCACAGAACATTCACATGCACATTCACCCCTGTGGACAATTTGGCAACTTCAGTTCACCATAGCATGTCTTTGGACTGTGTCAGAGGGGTAAATCAGAGAGTGCAACGGAATCACCATGTCAGCATGGAAAGAACATGCAAAATCTACATGCTGCTAGGCCCTATGATGGCCTCTTACCCTGTATGTGAAAAGAACCTGTGACCTTCCAAACTTCCCTCCTTTCACATGAACCTCCACATGACCCGAGTTGGCTGTGCTCTTACTCCCTATCTCGCACACCACGCTGAAACGGGATGAGCAGCCGGTTACATTAAGGTACAGATAAGTACAGTAGACATTCAGATATTGAATGGTCTGCTTTGCTTCCCATCTAGGGATCTATGCAGAACATGGTCCGAACGAGCTCCTTCTCCATCCGCCACAGATAGGTGAGCAGGTGCTGAGAGGTACCTTGTGGACACCGAGTATTTCTCTTGCTGGTGCACACAGGGGATACCCGCCACAGAGATGGTATCGATATCCTCCTTCTTGATGCCCAGGTTGGATCCTTTAATAGTAACCGAAATCCCACCATCTAAAGGCCCATACCGAGGGACGATCTAAAGAAAGAATTATGACATTCACATCAGCACAAACTAAAACAACATGAACAGTCTAGGAATTATCTGCCGGATTCTGAGGTCAGAAAATACATATTTCTGTATGCATGAGAACTCAGTGGGTGAGCTTCAGAAACTTACTTCTGTAATTGTGGGACCAGGGCAGTCTGGCTGGTCACCACTGGGGCAAAGTTGTCTGTACAAACAAGAACTGGTCTTGGTACACCAGACGCAGTCGTATTTAGGGTCAGCACTCTTACACAAGCTACAGTCTTCACGACCCTTTGAACAGTTGTAGAGGGTCACTGTGGGACAGACGCGAAAAGCTTGGTGAAATCATAGGCCAAGAATCACAGGTCAAAAGTTTTACACAGGGCCACTACAAAGGATGCCTTCTATTCCTGATACTTATTTTGTAGATGGCTGCAAAAATGTGGGTGCGATCATAACTTGGACATACCGTTTAATTGACTGTCAATCTTCTTTCCTGAATTTATACCCATGATGTAAAACAGTATGTTAACGGTCTGTGTTGTGCCGTAGGTAAACTACACAAGAGAACAAAAAACAAAATATTAGAATTACAAATGGCTGGAGCTGGTAATGCACATACATTTTCAAAGCACCATGGAATACATCATTAAAAAGCAGAGTGGAAATGGAAGTTTTTGGCCTTGTCCAAACGTACACGGGAGTTTTTTAAAACAGCTTTTTCTATACATTTTGGCCTGTCATCCACACACAAACTGCGTTTACGTCACTGAAAGCAGCTTTCGTAACACTCCGTCTAGGGTGAAGATTTTCAGAAACACTGTTTTCAGTGTCGATGTGTAGACAAGAAAAACAGTTTTTAAAAATACCCATGTACGTGTGGACAAGGCCTTAAATATTTTTAAAAGCATTGCTTCTGGAAGCCATTTAGCTTATTGTTGAAAAGGGTTTAACCCAAAACATATGCAGTGTCCATAAGGGGGTGCTGCAATCTCAGACTGTTTCAGTATGGTCCCAGTCGGACCTGAGAAACATGGTAAACTTTTTTTCTCCCTCCTTTTCGGCCTGTATGCAACTCGCACAAACGAGGGGGGTTGAGACTCTGTGCAGGCTCTTGCAGTTCTCATAGAGGGTGGGGGCTCCTTTTGCTAATTGTGGAGAAAGTACCCTTTGGAAATGTGCTATATGATTGGCCAAAGCCCTTGCAGAATATGCAGGTGCCACGTGAATTATGGAAATCTGCATGCTGAAAAAATTACCAGTTAACCACTGTATTGCTTAAAATTACACAATTAGCTACATTGTCTGTGGTGAAGAGACACAGAGGAACACAAGAATGAGCCTACGTTCCACTGTGCATCAGATATCTTGGTTTCTCTTCTGAAATGCAAGGTCTATTTTTTTTCCTGGGCATTTACTGGGCTTTACGTAGATCGAGGTAAATATGGCTGTCCTTTGAGTATGTGACATCACTCAGTAAAAACCAGGAGGTCAAACAGGGACCAGGAGCAGATGGCTGAGAGCACAGAAAAGGGGAGTCTGTCAGGGCGGCTTTTACAGCGACACCACATGAGAAATCGGGTGAACTGGCGATGGAAACGAAGAGCCAATTTATACAGCAAGCAATGTTTCAACCCACAATGCCTGGTAGATAGCCATCACACAGACACTCTGAAGCTGAAAGTGCCCCACAAAACAAAACGCTTCCCAAAAGGACAATGCAGGCAGCTCTTGACTTGCGTAAAACCGACTTCATTATATCTGGACACAATAAGAATCCAAGATACATACAGTTTGTGGAAGCGATAATACAAAAAGGTGACATGCCCATAAGTAAATTTATGCTTTCTCATTTAATTTCTTTAATGTGTATTCTTCGGTACGTTACCAGTATATTTTTGGCTTATGTGATTTTTGCTATACGGTACCTTACGTGGTATAAAAAGATAAATCCGATTTTTAAGTTTGACTTGTGCAAGTGTTTATGAAACACATTACTTATGTCAGTGGAGAATTGCCTGTATATATAACAATTTCAAACTAATATGCCCTGTTTTCTGCATCACTTTTTAAAGTCCCCAAGCTCACTGGGGTCAGGCTACCGTAAGGGTAACCAGTAGAATGCATATTCTGGGAAACACTGACCTCGTGTCCACTGAACTTGTACTTATTGTTTATAAGTTTGACCTCTTCCTCCATAGGTTTCATGAGCTCCGTGCTAATCTTAAAGGCTGAATCCTGAAAAAGTGCCAAAAAATTGTTAAATCACTCAGTGTTAGGGAATTCTAGAAACAAATGATGCCAGTTTCAAATAAATTCCACTTTCCGCGACGCAGTAAATATTCTTGAGTAATGATGCCATCAGTTTACCTTGCTCGCATCGAGATTAACTCCTGTGAAAGTAATGGGGGTTTTCATTCCCACTGAGATCAAATTAGGTTCTGGCTTCTCGAACCGTGGACATTTTGAATCCTGGACAAAAGCAATAACATCAGTCCCTTTTGTTAGAAGGCCCAGCTACCCCTGTGAAGTGACCAAGGCCCCCATCTCTCATTTCTCACCTCGCCAGGTTTGATAATGTACGTGCCCTGCCGATCGTCACTGTCACTACAGGTGAAATCCTGAGTGTTCCACTGACATTGCCATAAACTAGTCACACAAGAAATACACCTACAAAGAAAGCAGTCAGAGATCATCAAATAAGCATTTTATGAATTTATTTTGAAGATCTATCCATTCATCCAGTGTAGACAAGGGTGTGGGGACAGATTAAATCAAGATACTGGAAAAACACTGAAACGCATACATCAGCCTTAGAGCACCCAGAAAGCTCCTGGAAAATTATGCAAGAATGACTCCTGTTCATTTAATCAAAATGAAAGGCAGTGTGGGGACAGATTTGGAAGAAAACTGTGTTAGGTGGAGATATTCAATTACTGAATCAGTCATGCACCAGGAATTCTGTGAAGGCTTCATTTTCATGAGCTTGTGTTAAAAAAGGTTGGTGTGGACAAATACAAGGGTGACATTTCGTCCTCCACCCTGAGGGTGGCGCACTCACGGCATGTTCTCCACCCGCCTCGGGGCCGCTCTGCAGTCATAGAACGTGAAGTGCTTCGAGGTGAGCTCCACTTGGCCTTTTGCGAAGATGGTCACCGGCACTTCCATGAAATCTTAACAGCACACAGGTGGACACAATTATAGAACATGATGCGGGGGGGGGGGGGGGTCTCCATCGACACATGCTCTCCGCTGAGCCTCAGCGCTGAGCAACTCACCAGGATTTTCAGGAGTGCTTGTTATTTTGCCGAGAACAGGGGCCTCACAGCTGACCACTGATTTCTGCTGCTCTTCCTTGATCGTCGCAGGACTTTCAGAACTCCCAAATTTGCACATAACATGGTCATTCGAGTTGACTCTAGGGAAAGAATCTTTTTTCATAGTGATTTCCACCTAAAAAAGGAAGGAAAGACTGAGCCTGTTATGTGCACATATATTTACCAACATGTACATTATGATAAAAGTCCAGCATAACGTTTTTTTTACTCTAATGGCACATAGTAACCATTAGAAAAGTCTCTTTTTCGTAAACACAGGATTTCCCATAATATTCATTTTGTTTCTGGCTAGATAGATTTGAATGGGCAGTGAATAAAAGAAGCAGAACACTATGTTAACCATGCCCAAGTAGTAGAGGACATTACACATATATAAATAAAGTTATAGTGTGTATAATGTATTAGTCCAAGCTAACTGGAACATGGCTAACTCTTAACGGTTCCATTGTACCTGTTTCGTCTTTTTGCAGCTGAGGTTAGGTGGCTGAAAAGACTCGACCTCCACACACTGGTTGGTGGGACTCCACAGCCAATGAGCAGGCTCCCCTGCTCTCTCACAGTCAGATTTCCGGGTGCACCTAAATGGGGCATGACAGCAGTCAGACACCCTGCTCCAGCCCTCTCCATCTCAGCCACTTCCTGTTCCCCAACAACAACAAGCAACAACTACAACAACTACTACTACTACAGCAATGCTATCCTGCTACACACAGATGCCATAAAGAGTAGATCAGATCTTCAAAGTTTAGTTTCCTGCTTTAAAACAATGCCTTGAAGAAGGAACATAGGTGATTATCACATGGATAAAAGTTCATTGCCTTACTCCTCTGTAAAGTCAAAAGCAGAGTGATTGCCAGTGATGAACAGTTCCCTACCTGCCCTCAAGCACACACCAGCCACAGTATGGGTCCCTCAGGGCCATGCAGGACTGGCAGTCCTTCTTTAGATGGCATACCTGCACTGGCACCTTGGAGATCTGCCACACAGCCAAAAGTGTTGATCACATACTTAATTACAACATAAATGAAATTAAATTGAAAAAGTCTGTTTTTTTGGAACTGTACCTTCTTTCTGGTGGTGATGTACAGGTGAGTGTAGTTTGTGTCAAATAAGAGGTGCTTGTTGACCATATCACCAGAGTTGGATACAGTAATAGTCTGGTAGTCCTTTGAGCTGCCAGGCAGGTGCAGCTGAAAGGTGCGGAGAAGTGGGTCAGGAAAACCAGAATCTCCAGGAGGTAAACATTCTGATGTTTGTTCTCTAATTATCTCTTAATGGGAACCCTTAATAGAAAGGGACTCAAGACCTCACCTTGCAAACTGACCCGATTCTGCAAACCGCCCAGTGCACCTGGCACAGGACTGTGATGGAGCACCTTACTCTGCTCACCTTTTTCACCTCTCCATTGCTGGTTCCCAGAAATGCCACGGTATGCTGGTTCTCCACGGCAACCGCCACAGCCGTGAGTAGGTCGTCTGTTTTGTAGAAGGCTTCAGAAGTCAGAGCGAGGGGTTGTGCGCTGGCCAAGGGTGAAGGGAGGAAGTCGGCGCCGCAATTGAATTGTGACCACTTGTCTTGCTGATGGGCACAGAAACACGAGTATTTAAAACAAACTTCGGCAGTCTAGCATTTTCGGCTACACTTATGCAGACATGTCTTATTTGAAGGTCATAAACTCATCAGTAAACTTTTGGGAACATATTAACTGTTGGATTTCTACTGAATCTTAGAAACAGGTAGTAGCCTATCATTTCATTTCAGAATCTACAGAAATACCCCGTAGTGAAATGACCCCTCACCATATTTAAAGAACAAAATGAAGATGGACGAGCTGAGTATGGTGAATCAACAGCTATTTTGTTATTGTCATATCCTTGCTGTAAATAGCAGGCACGAAGGATCTCCTTGAATCGGTCATTGATGGCATTCAGAGGGTACATGCAGAGTGCTGAACGGCTTTCGTCCCCATCGGTGCTGGACACCACAAACAGAACCTTGTCCATTGACTCGACGACACCATATTGACCAGACGCACTCAAATTTCTGGCCAGTTCCTCCCCAGCCGAGGAAATGTAGGCTGTCTGCACTTTATTGTACTTGTTGTCTTGGCTACAGTTGAGCTGAAGTTCAATGTAAGAATAGTAGTTTTGGTCATTCTCGCACAGCCGTGAGATGAAGGTGTAGTTCTTGTTGTCTGATTCTCCCCTTGTACGGGTGAAGAAGTAGTACAAAAACCCATTTTCCTTGAAGGAGTAACGAAAATTGTGCAAGTACTTTGTGATGAAGGGGGTGGCCTGCACACCAGAAGCATCCACGATGTTTTCAAAGATGACCCAGTCATTATTGTCCTGCAAGATGCGCGTGCTGATCAGCTTGGAGCTGTCCTGGCTTCCGTAACCTTTCCCCACCACAAAGACAGGCAGGGTCTCAGAGTCTTTGACAAAGTTTGCCATCACGCCTACCACAGACACCGTCTCCTCAATGCTGGCCACATAAGTCTTCTCACCCTTGTTGTCATTGTAGTAGATCTGATGCTCAACATTGCTGAGGTTCCACAGAGAACAGAGACCCCTGAACAGGCTTCCACAGACTATGAGCGAGCCATTGGCACTGTTAACCAGTAGAAGCTTGTTTGTGTTGTTTGTGTCCTTTGCATGTGCACAAGACGACTGAATGGGTGGTGTGCATTGGCGATCATCTTTCTTGGGACCCGTAGTTAACACTTTCTCCCTCTCCAATGAAGAGTTCAGTTGGTAGATGGCATTGACGGCCCCTAGGTAGATACGGCCTGTGCGCGGATCCTGCACCACATTGTTGATGGGGGTGAGAGTGACAAATTCCTTGTATCTCTCACAGCAGACTGTGGAGAGAGACAGTAGTAGGGCTGCCAGAGTCCAAGATGCCATTTCTGTGAAGAAACCGAAAGGGGAAGTTAAAGTCTATGCAATGATTCATTACAATGTGTCTTTCGATGCGTTGGCTACTTTTCACATTAAAATAGATTATAAAATGATTCTTAAGACGTTACATACAGGTTACGGGCATTATGGAATTTCCCAAAATGTTAACTTTGAAAACAGCTGAAAAAACAACCTCTTGAGTTTTGGGGGGTGGAGGGGACGACAACAAAACCCAGAATGTCATAAAAATATATCTTGGATCGCAACATTGATTTGAAAAGTCACCATATTTTCTTTCCGCCATAGATGAAAAGGCTGTTGTTGCTGTATATTGCATCCTGCCAAACAGACGTGGTCAGATCCTTCGTTTCAGAAGGCTAGACATATAATCAACCAGAGACCATGAGGCTACATCGGCACACAAACATGTGCACACACCCCGCAGAGATGTCTGCTATGCAGCTGCAGACAGATCTCAATACCCATTCCATCATAGGCCATCCACTGCTAACTTCTCATTTGACATTGTAACTCTTATTATGGACACTTCCACCTCTACCCCACCTCAAGAGATTCATGTGGATAGTGGACTGATTGTACAGTCACCCTTTGGGCCCCTTTGCATTTATTGACAGTTATTTATTTTTATTTGTAATATATATATAGAGTGGTGGCTCTGACGCTAGGGATCTGTGCCAGCAATTGGAAGGTTGCTGGTTTGAATCCTGTGAATGGCCAGAGTGATCCTACTCTGTTGGGCCCTTGAGCAAAGCCCTTAACTTGCAATTGCTTTGGCCCGAGTATGACGTTAATCTTCATCCAGCCCTGTAAGGAGGTCCTCCAACTTACATGGAAATTTGGAGGGTGGTTGCAGGATTGGCACTCCAACCACTGGGGGAAAAAACTCACACTGGTCCATTCGAACTAGTGTGATGCTGAGGTATCACCCACTGCACTCAGCTTCTCATCCCTGAGGTGGTTCATCGTGTAGTGGGTGTGGCAACGTACTGTAACCAGCGTGCCCCTTACCTACCTACAATAGTAGTTTTTTTTCTTGCATTTTTTGCCACATTACACATTTATTAGCTTTTAAGCATAATTCACGTGAAGATCTTAAAGCTCTTCCTATAGGATAACACCTGAACCTCCTAACCTGGTCTCCAAGCCACCTCTCACAAAGACTGGAGAGATATGTGGAATGCTAAAGAACTGTGTTTGCTCCTGGCAGGAACGCTGCCCTTATCCCCAAGCACGTTCCGATCCAAAGGACTGACGTCAAAGAAAATTAAAGGGCTTGAGGATGGTGGTGACTCCCGTGGTTTGGGATCCCCAGAGCCATCCCTCTGGGTGTCTCTGGCTCTCCTCAGCAAGATCTCACAGGAGGCTCCCCAGATGGGACCTGCATGCTCCTCGAAATAAACAAACTTTGCTAAATTTAGCTGCCACGTTTCCAGGCCTCACTAATGAAGCCCCTAATGGCTAGAAACACATGACGATGAGTCCGGCCAAGCCCTAACAAGGAATGGAAGAGCGGAATCTCAAAGTGACAAAGCACCAAAAGATATCTGCCTCAATGGCCGTGAGAAAGTGAAGCAGTTCACCTTTAATCCTCATATAGTTCAACCTAAAAGGAGCATGGACAAAGGGCCCAGCTGCACAGGCCTGAAACCTGAGGCCTGGAGAGGTGTGTCTTATAATTATTTTTGTTGCGACAGTGCCGACGGTGCGGGCTCGTTCAACTTGCTGGCCCACCCTAGGTAATCATGGCATGTTTGCACAAGCAGAGCGTGGCAACCGATTACCAGCGAACCTGGAAAACACGACAGAACCGCCACATACCTTCTCCGGCATTTGTCTGTCGAAAGAAAGCTTCCTCTTGCCCTCTGGTCCCATCCCTGCCCCACCCTGGTCACAGTGGTACCTCTCACTCAAAAAAGACAAAGCGGCCGCCTGCGAAATATCACCCTACCACAGGAGGAAGTGTGCGCTGTCACCCACGAGGCGTCCGCCGAAACGGCCGTGAGTCATTGGTCTTGGAGCTGATGGGGCACTTTGGAGCAGCGTGCGAGCTAAAGATAATGGATCCGCCAGAGGAAACGGAACAAGCACGAGGCTGCTTTTTATGCGGCTGTGGGGAATTCTGTCGGAGCATTTTTACGTCGGTATTGCCTAATGCACTTTGTAAAATGCTGGTCGAGGTCATCCGCTGATAAACTGCATTTACCAACATACCGCGTTTCGGGCCAGCTCAGGTTAAGCGACTTAATCCAAAGGGGCACAACTGGCAACCTTATGATTCAAGCCTGCTATCCAGTAAGATCCAACCGCAGTCCGACTCGGGCACCTGTGGCCTAGAGGGTGATCGTACAGCAGCTACTCAGTCATCAGCTCCCCCAGCTGGGGTGTTCTGTTCAGCCCTGATAAAGAATATACCAGAAAATGGCACAAAAGAGGTGAGAGCGACAAGTACAGTCAGCATAAACCAACGTTTCCTACATCTAAACCCCTACGTGCTCCAGCCAAATTAAAATGAAAAGGAGGGTTGGGGGGAAGGGGGGACACACATTGTTCTGTATGAATCATGGAATGCCTCAGCTCTCTAAATTAGCCCCAAGCAAAAGTAAGTGGAGGGAAGGAAAAAAATTCTAAACTGCTTAGGAAGCTCCTGTGATGACAGCAATTCAATTTCCATATGAACAATTACCCCAGCGTCATGCCTGACAGTTCATTTGTTTCAATCTGATTGACTGTGCCACCAACACATCAGGACGAGCTGGCAAAGGGGGCTCCACCACTGAGAATGCCAGTGGCCCACAGGCCATTGCTCCAAAGAACCCTAGTTTCCTCACCCTTTCACAAGTAGAACATGACAAAACAAGATATGGCAGATTAAGGGAGCTACCAAGCCTGCAAACTTCTGGGGAAAAAAAACTATGGGAGGCAACATGGAGAGAGTGTAGGACAGGGGAGGGCGGCTCCCTTCACGGCCAAGGCTAGGAAGACCATGGCACTGCACAGCACCCAAATTACTTTCCTCCACCACACCTCCACAGACTTCTGACGGGCTACCAGGTACCACAAAGCAGAACAGAGCAGTTGACTGCACTGGGCATTGACCCAGAACCGATTGCAAGAGCTTGGTCAACGTGGAGGGTCATCATAAATGGAGCACGATGACTCCAGCAAGTCGTCTGCAGCAAAAGCGCTTCCCCCAGCCTGTGCCCTGTACTGTCAGAGCCATAATTCCACAACAACTAAATATTCATCATAATGCATCCACAAAATCAGTTACATACCCAAGTGCTTCTAATAATTTGTCTACAGAAGCATTAGCGCCAATGAGGCATAAAGGTTTGTGTGGCAGTTCACTTGGCTCTGTTGTTTCAGTGTTTGGACATATAGGGATACAGCAATCTTAATGCAGATCACACCTCTGGAGCACTCAGCGTCAATTCTTAGGCTGGTCACACATCTGTGGCCTGCAGACCATATTGCAGTAAGAAAGCCACAATCAATGTCACAGCCCACTGATACAATTTCTTATGAAATTTCTTAATTCAGCATAGACTTTCTGACTCAGAGTCTCCTGTTGTTGCAATCTGCTTCCCGAAGCACTGCTTGGTGCGTGAGACTTCACACTTGGCGAATGACAGTGCCAGTGTTGGGCAGCAGAGGCCAGTTTCAGGTCATGGCTGCATGTCAGATCTGAAAGATGACCCACTGCTTGACAAAATGACTAAATCCACTGACACACCATCTCAGAATCAAGATGTGAAGCATCATGATCAGCATTTCGACACATTACAGAACAGACATCCCTCTGTGGCTACATTTGACATGTGAAGAAACTGTTGAGCGATCGGTTGTCATTCATGAGCCTTGTGAGTATAAGGATGGGATGAAATAAAAATTTTTAAGTCCATCTAAAAGTTAGAGGCTAAAGAAAAGTTTTAAATACACGTTACAATCTATTGGGTTGGCAGGTTGTGCCTGATTGGTCTAAAGAGCACTGAAGTTGAGTTTCATGGTGCTACCAAAAACAGGACCTTCTTGAGCAGTCCTGAGTTCTTACCGCAAGTTCAATAAACATCCTGAACAATATGGCTTGTCTAAACAAACACTAATCATTTTGAGGATTGCACAATAGAAGAGTCTGCTAAAAACTAATCTTTGTATTCAGCCTCATGATCTCTTTGCCACTCGAACGCCACAACATTTTATTTATTCAACCTGTGACATACTCATATGTTTTTGTTAAACATATTTATAATTATTAAATCTGGCCAGCAGATTGATCTTCCATTTTTCACAGAATAAAAAAAACACAATGTAATGCTGCATCATTTATGCAAAAAAGTTCATCTTATTTTCAGCATATACAATCCATACTATTTTATGCTATTTTACAACATTGTCTCCGAAAAGGTTCCCCAGTCTCTGTGTGTTAGTTTATTTTTACCACTTTTTTTCCTCAGAATAAAAAACCGATGTAAACTTATTCTGCTAATGAGCTGGCAAGACGTTTCACTGTCGCCGCCATTTTTAGACTAACTAATCAGTTATGGATTGAATTTTCAGGGAATATGGAAGGTTTGGATGCCATAGCCAGTCACACTATTGCTGACATTATGGTGCCACATTCTGAGCCCAGTTTTTCTGTGGTACCGTGCTGGAGCCATTTTTCTGGCCCAGGGCCTTTTTCCCAATCAGGCACTGGTTCCACTTGTTTCCACCGTAAAAAAAAAGTCCACCACCATTACCACATTGGTAGAAACAAGACTATAGACGCTAATAACTTCTGCTCAGTACAAGATGTCTGTATGACGGAGCAGAAGGCCAAACCTCCTGTTGATTCCTACCAGTGCAGCTCAGGAGAACAAGCATTTGATGTCACCGTGTTCGAATAGGCTGGGTCTGAGGGACAGAGTGGGATTGACTTCATCCCAGCTACGGGTGGGTCATCTTCAGCAGCTAGTGGACTGTTACATGCTGGTCTTTGCTGTGCATT